CGATCCCAAGGCAGGTAGTGTAGATCCATCTGATGCGTGTCGTTGGGTCTGGCTGATTCTTGTTGTAATGTCATTGGCCTGGGTACATACCCAGGAGCGGGTACATAAATTTGCCAAATGGCTTGTTTTTTTAACCAAGCTCGTATAACCGATTTATCTGCACCTGTCTTTTTGTGCAAGTGATCAACGGCGCTGTCCAATAGCCTTGCGGACTATAAAACACTTTATAAAATTCTTTCTCCATTTAAAATAAAGTTAACGATATCGGTAAGCCAAAAACCGACCAAAGCGGTTCCTCAGAGAATCCACACTAATTCTCTAACTTTGACAAATTCTTGTTGACTCGAGCGTTCTTGTTTCGTGTGTTCGTTTAAAAAGTCCAACAGATGAACGCGATTTTCTTCCAAGGTCTGTTTGGCTTGCGCCAATTGTTCCAACGCGAGGTCGTGTCGCTTTCGTTCTTTGTCTACTCAGTTTTGAGACAAACTACTAGTCCTCCTACCATCATTAATACACTCGCAATTTCATTTTATATATTTTAAAATGGAGCGAGAAATTTTAGAGATCGAAGACCAGTTGGCAGAAATGCGAGCAGATACAAGTAACATCGATCACATGCTTGGTGACATGCGAGCCGACGTAGATCACAAAAGTGACATGCTTTTAGAGATCCAAGACGTATTGGCAGATATGCGAGCTGAAACTTTTTATAAGAGAGACCAAATGAACCAGTACAAAGACATGTTTTTTGCAGCTGGTGTATCGTTGATTGCTTTATCTTTCTTAATCGGAAATTTAAATTATAAACCCTTATATTTTAAACCGTTTATAATAAAATATGGCAAGTCAATACACAAAGAAATTAAACCCAAGCCGCCGGCTCAAAGTGCCTCGAGCTATTAAAGGCGCAAAACACGAAGTCACCATTACACACAATCCGAGCTCAATAGCTGCGACACATACATTAACTACTGGGCAAGCTGGCGGGCAACATACCTTGCGCCACTAACCTTGCGTAGCCAACGCACCGCTAGCCACGCCATTCATTTTGGCCGCATCTTCTACCGATAATCGATCCAGGTCGGGCAGTTTAATTTTAAGTAGCTTCTTACCGAGCATAGCGTATCCCATTGAAATGACACTGACTACTGCACCGTGGTATGTCGTGTTGGCAGTACCGTTTACGTTTATATTTGCGTTACTCGTTCTTACTATATAACGATTTTAAATTTATTCCATGTCTAAAACTTCTTGCGCAGGTGGTGTTTGAACGGGTATCCTTTGAACGGGTGGGGGTTTTGGTGGATTCACAGCTGGCTTCTTTTTCAAAAAACAACGCGAGAGCGATTTTGCCGAGTATCAGTCCACCTAAAATTAAATTACCGTTGTTCTTGAACACCGCGTAAATATCAGTGGATTTAGACTCTGGCTCTGGCTCACTTGTTTTTAACCTAGCAAGCTGTTGTTTCATCTTTTCATTATGTTTGGTCAAACGTTTGCCCTGTTCGATGCATTTGGAATGTTCAGTGTTGCTTCACTGGGCTTGGAGGTGGAGCCGGTGGTTGTTCCTTGGTTCTTTCTGATTCCATCGTCTTTTATAATAGACAGATTTTTTATTGATAGCCAAATGTTTCATAGTAATAAGCATTGCAACTATAGGAGACAAGTAGCTCCCATATTTGTAACAATTTTCACTCAGCAAATGACCCATGCTTTGACTAATAATAGGATCGTTGTTTATTATCTTTGGTTAGGTTTTCTTCTGATTTTTTATAGCCCAACATTTCGATAGGGGTAGCTATTCCTAAAACACGAGCGTATAGACTTAAAATTGCATTACCCAACGTTTTAACAATTTCTTTTCCAAAACTAACGTCATAAAGGTTAAACAGCTTTTATTGTTCTTGAGGATTCAGGGATTCAATATCCTTAACAGTATATTCCTTTCCCCAATATTTTTTTTGATTCGCCGGAGGCCACTTTAGAGCAAAGCCTGTCCTTGACGTTTGGCACTTCGTTTTAATAGCCCAAGCTTCTCTTTCTCAAGATCACAAAGATACACATTTTCATCAGTGTACAACCACAGCCGTTCCCGATACGTTTTGTTTTTACTTAGCATAGGGCACACAATCACTAGGGCTTCAAACACGAACCGATATTCACTTTCCAAAAGATCTAACACTCACTGGGTTTTCCCAGACCCGGTCTTTCCAATAACTTAAGAGCAATGCGGCTGTTTATACATGTTCATTTTATTCTAAACTGTAGGCCTATTTAATAAACCAAACTCTTAAAATCTCCATTGTCAACAGTCAACTGCGCATCCATAACAAAACACATCCATCATCAAGGGCCCTGCAGTTTCTGCTTTTCTTTCCATCTGAATCGAAATGTCGCCAGACCCTCCCAACGGCCTACCAGATCAATGCGTCGAATTGTCATCCGAACTTCTGAAATCTAGCCACAAACCGTACTTGTCTTTCAAATAGCCGCCCATGTCAAAGCCAGTCAAGTTCATATCTTTCACAACTGCTCTACCCAATTCACAGTCTGAATCGCCAAAAAACTTGGAAATTACGTGCTAGTGCTGATATTCAAACAAACCTTGCGAATACAATTGGTTAGGTTTACCTTCGACGGTTACGCTGGTTTTCGTAATGTGCGGATTGTAAAATCGCTGCGAGTTTTTAACGGCTGGATCTTTGAACAGAATCATAACGCCTTTCAAGCTTTTTATCGTTTGATCAATGTTTATATTTTCTACAACGTGTCTGACTTATTTACAGCTTGCTTTTTCCACGAGTGAACTCTGTCAAACAAACAATACACACGAGGCCTTTATGCTTGGCGCGCAACGCTTGTGAAATATCTCGGTTGGTCACGACTTCGTACTCTAGCGTCAGATCTGAAATTGAATATTCTGCGGCAGAATCGGTCAATTTAACCACTTTGTCATGGTTGTTGAAGGTGAGCGATATATCAGCGGCCCGTGATCTGTCAATAGCGGTACGTCTAACGGAATTGCGTACCTGTTTTTAAAAGTGTCTGCTATAGCCTTGTCTTTACCGTCGTTTGCCGACTCGTTGGCATCCGCTGATGAAAGACGTCTGCGTCTCGATAACTTACAATTTTGTTGCCTTGCAAACTGACGTCAAGTTCTGTAATTAGATGACGAGCGACGTTATTGTGTACTGTGCGGTTGTCGTCTGATGCTCCGTCTAGGTCCAATTTAAAAGTCAGTTTTGCGGTGCCCGGCACAACGACGTCGTCTACACCCAACGCGGGAATTCGACGTTAAATATCAGTTTATTATAATGTGACCCTTGACCCTATTATGTAAAGTCGTTTAAGGGAGCAGAGGACTCGACATCTCTGGTTTTGTTGATTTATTCTGGAGAATGAATGCGAGGAGGGAGACGTTTTAAGAAGATGTCATCTCCAATCCGGTCAGTGTCCGAGTGACCTATAAATGCAATTATCAAATGAATCAAATAGTTCAATGAAACACCGATTAAGCTATACACAAAAGAAGTTTAAATAAACTAGAATTATTTATAGAACATGTCTGAATCAGTTTGCCGCCATAATTCCATTTGACAGGCGCCATGTTCAAAATACGAATTATTAGAAGAGCAAACGAAGATAAATTAAGGAAAATAGAGGAACTGACAATGTTTAGACCTATGAGTCTTACAGACGAAGCACTACATCGTGATATTGATAATTACTGACTTATGTTGATAAAAAAGGGATTTTTGGGTTTTTGATCAAGCGCGTAACTTCCGGCTCCATGAAAACGGTGTGTAACTCTATGTGCAGTGGGCGTGGTTTAAACTGAAGTGACGTCATACTGACGAACCGGATAAATAAATCCGATGAGACGCAATTTCGACACGCAGTTGTCTCAACCTGAGCGCGATCAAAGGTTATTTCACGCGTGCGCACCGCCTGCGTGTGAGAAAGGATGGCCCCGTATAATCTCTTCAAATTTTGGTCGTCAGATTAGTGAATAAACGTACTGCCTATAAAATGTCACAAACCAACACTGAAATAGAGTGGCGCCCTATTTACTGTATTAAAGTGTTTTCATCTTGTAGATGTACACAGCACGTAAGACCAGCTCGTTTGTCTGGTTCCTTTACATAATTATTACTCCACCGTGCCCTATCGTTACCTTACGCAGTAGCAGGATTCCAGTCGATCAAGCAAGTTTGGCAGTTCTTGGACATCGTATTGTACCCAAAAAAATATATTGCCGAAGCGTGCACTAGCCAGAAACCAGGGACTTTTTGAAGGAGGCTTAACAATCACATTTTCCCCTTTTCCCCATCAAAGATTGCACTGTTATTATTCTGTGTGGGTATTGAAATTACAAAGCCTCTTAAAGGACAATGAAGCCCGCTTTCTGGTCTATACATGTGTACTTCTAAAAGTACAAAAAGCTCTGGTGTCACACCTGGGAATCCTTGAACAGGTATAGAAATAAGGTATACACTGAGGCAAAACGTCACTGTCTGCCGCTCCAACGGTCTTCAATCAAACTGTTACCGAGGTAAGAACGAATTCCAAGCTGATTGGTAGGATCAATCATGCCTACACAGGAAAATACTTCTTTATGGCAGCATATGAAAAACTGACGTACTTATGTCAGCCCCTTCCCCAAAACCACTTTAAAGCTTCAACCGTGAACTTGCTGTTGTCTTCTATATTTCTGCAAATAGCGTCCAAAGGCTGTGTACTTTATTCCGGTCATGGACATCAGCAACTGGACACTTAAGGTTAGGAACTGTAGTGCACCCAAGGCTCATCATCTCAACATTATTTAGAAAGAGATTATACGCATGGAGTGTGAAACACACTTTTAATATAAAGTGCAGTTGCAGCACATAGTTCAGTTGTATTTGTCTTCTCCCAAGAAAGTTTTATGAAATAGTTTCCAAACACTTTGCTTTATTCAAATGACCAATTTTTTTCAGTTGTGTAATCTGAGAGTGACTCACCAAATTATGTCATCATCAGGGTTGAGCACTCGAGATTTGCATCTGTGTAGGGCGAGCGCGCTACCATATGACAAACCCGGAGCTGCTGGTAAAAATGGAAACTGCGATGAATTTGTTTGGTTTAACGTTTGAGAAGCTAGATCCTATAGTTCATGCCCAGTGTGGTGATTTGTACAAGCATGCAATTCCTTCTGTGGACCTGGGAACAAATGTTTCTACGCAACGCCGGAATCGAAGGCGTTGTGGGCATGCCAACGTCCTTGCAAGGTCCCCCCCCTGAAAAACAAAAGAAGTTTAGAGGCATTTGGTGGGTTTAGGGTTATTAATTGCGAAAGGAAGGGGAACAGACAAGAAAACTATCAGCAAAAATCCAACTTAAAATTGTGTTAATAGTTCAAGACAAGGGAGTCATTTTACCGGCTTAGTCTCTCGCAAATTTAAGTCCACATAAGGTATGCAACTCTAACATTTCATAGCACGTTTGTGAGTTGGTATATGAGTCATTTTTGTCAGGAAAGTTGGAACAGACGTTCATTTTGTCCGCCATAAAGTTTTGTTCCCCCATGTCTATATTTCACCACCCATGTAGTCCCTTAACGGGCAACAAGTACAATTTTGTTTGAGGAAGCTGAACATTGAACAACAGAGGACAATAGGATTCCTCATTTACTAAGGATTCCCGTATAAAAAAGAACAACGGGGATCCCCAGTTGCAAGCATATGTGCGTGTTCATAACCACGTCTGAATTTTTTGCCCATGCGGTCATGCGTTATAGCGGCTGAGTCCCTATAGGTGCGTTTATCACGGGCCGTAGCCATGTAGTGTGGATGCTGCATGCCAGCATAAATTTCTCTCCTCTTCACTTCAAGTCCACCTGTAGTAGCAGCTGTGACCTTGATATCCGTAAGTTTCTTTCATCTTTGAAGTTGTGATGAGAACAGGTGACTATTTTTCCACTCATTTCTTCTTACCTGTGCGTGTGACTCCCATACCTTTGAGTTCTACATCATAATGTGCGAGTTATTCGGCGTATGTACGGTTCATAAATGTTACTGTCGTGTAGACGCGAGTTCATCTTGCCCCCAAAACAGCTTGGCGTGTATTATTCGACAATTTGCCCATTCCTTCATACTCACCTGAATAACGCCGTAGCTCTGAACGCGCCTGTTCGAGCTCGCCTCCCTCGGTTGATTGCAAAGCTCTGAGTAGGTCTCGCAGAAGTTGGGTTTCGTCCTCGGCCAAGACCATCGCCGACACGAGGGATAGAAGCAACAAACGGAACATCTTCGCACTGAATCGTCTTATTAGGCTTTCCAAGCAATCGATGGCAGTATTATAGTTCTTTTAGAGCTCAACAAGAAACGCAAACCAGTTTTGCCTGCCGTGTTACGAACGACTCATTCGACACGACTGAATCGGTTCCAATCTTTAAGGCTAATTTTATGACGTTCTGTGAATTTGACTATAAATACAATTTTTAAGTAACATTCTTCAGTGCGCACAATATTGACAATTGCTTTGTACACTTTGTGATCAACAGGTTTTGCAATTTGCAATGCATTGTGGGATTGGACAAACACAGGCGAAGCATTGTGTAGGCAATCTTACAACAATGGAAATGGCCTTCCTGTAAAACGATCCCTGTAAAGTGATTATTCACGGTTTTACGTCAAAGGGAATGGACAAGGACCACTGATTCGCGCAAGCATGCATGGAAAAGGCAAAGCCGTATCTGTTCCTGCACGAATCTTCAGTTCCGAGCTTGTTCTCACTGATTACGTCCTTCCTACAACATTTTCCCGAAAGCAAGGGAAAAAAGTACCGATTCTCGCTAATCTCTTGGGCTACGAGATGAATTCGATCCGTTGCCCAGTGCAACTAAACCATGCAAAACTAGCATATTTATGTCTCATTGAGTACCCTTCGTTTGGGTGTAGAGTCCGTGTTCTCCTGAGCGATCCCTGTTCACCACTTTCCATGTTGCATCGTGTATTTGGAACGCTATCCCTGGCCAAATAGTGTTCCTGGTTTCATGACTACAGCGCCCCTGAACAATGAAAATAGAGCCGTCATCCAAGGGCTGGGAGCACTGGTACGATGTCCCGGAGGTCGCTGTTTCAAATCCTGCTCCAGACAAATTCTTTGTTCATCTTTATAATTTATTTGATGACAAGTTGTGCTAGATTTGATAATAATATCTTTATTTCGTCGGTGTATCCTGAGTGGTCTACACGGAGTGCCATTTATGTGTTTGCATGTTTTTGATGAGCTCACAAAACAAGTTGGACACTACTTCAGAATGGAATAAGTCGTCTTGTATGGTGATTTCAGTGCAAGAACTGGAAACCTAATCAGGCTAATGATAATCATTACGATGTTGACTGTAATTATGCTTCTGTACAACAGGCACACACTGTAAAACCCAAGCGTTTAACTTCTAAACGTAAATGAATCGCAAATCTATAATACTTATAAAATATTTTGACATATTTATAAACAGATACATACAACATATTGATATGCTGAATAGAATATTTTATTCAATAAACCGAACGTATGTTTATGATATAGATTATGTTTAAAATTATATTAGGTTTTTAAATACTTTTTCATGATAGACCCGTTTATGTGTTTAACACCGTACCTAAATTTCTAAATAGGTGTGCAGGCTGTTACACTTTTACACTTTGACTCGTTTATAAAGGGTGCGGTTTTATTAACTGCACATTATTGGGTAAAGATAACATACACGTGTTCAAGTAATAGGCAGTGACATGATATGACAGACCTTTTCAGAAACTTATCACCCATCTGAGATCCTGAAATATCTAGCACATTTTATACACGAACTTGCGTAAGAGACGAATAAATGCAACTCTGGTGGGGCGGATTTCTCTATAATTGCAGCTAACAACAGCCTACAGAAAGAGATCGAAGTGCGCATGCACGTCCGTGTACATGCTGCGCTGCGTTTATTTAGTCGTGTCTTGAACGTTAGGCGGTTTATAGTCTTGGTTCTAAGACGTTACAATGGGTGCGTTCGATAAGGTTCCCTGAACACACCAGTGTTACACACAAGGGAAGCCTCGAAATGAGGATAATCGAACACTGCCGTGCAATCGCCAAGGCATTCTGGGGAAAAGGTCAAGTCACCGCCAGTTCCATCATGTACGTCCATGCACGAACAGTCCATCCGTGACGTCATTACAATCGGGCAGCCTCCAGAGACACGCTCGCCAGCCGGGGTAGTAGTGGCTGACACCAGGGCAGGCACGAGGATCACGTGATGGCTAACTTACACGTGTAAGCTAATCGAACGCACTTTATCTGTAGCTGTGTTCGTGTGTTAATGAACGTGTTAGCGCAGTAAATTTTGGCAGTCAACAGAGGGCGCTATGTGACGGACGCGGTCTGTATTAATATATTCGCAGTAAAGTCTTTTTCTTTATTTTTCGGTGAAATCGGGATACAATCAGCGAGTAAGGTTTATTTTAACACGAATTATTGATAAAAGCAATTGACGCACAATGTAGTACGTGCAGCAATTTGGCATGGCAGCACAACTACATCAAACTCAGAAAGTTTTGACGAGTGCAATGCTGGCTTTGAGGCCGACCAGGGGATGTGTCACGCGCTGAGCTATACCGTGGTCGCGGTGGAGCAGCTGGATGGACGTGATCGCGCCGGCATCAGACAGCTTGGAATCAGCTCCACGGTCGTGCATTATTTGTGGGAAACAGTTGATCACTTGCAAAAACTACAGTTCGCTTAATAAAACATGTATAATTCATCGATGTTAGCCTAAATTTTAACGCTTTGTATCAGTTTTGTATTCACGCCCTACCGTAGCTTCGCTAAAACTGGTTGGCAAGATCGCCAGACGTCGATGGACTAGACTTGACGTTACAAAAAGTGTCACTCACGTGACATGTGCACTACGAAATCACCATAATGTAACCCTGCCGTCGGATACAAGATATCCAAGACGTTTCTGGGTGCAGTGTCCCAATTCAAGGAAAATTCTCCGCCAGGCCGAGGCGCACAAAAAGTACCCCTCCCAGAGATTGTTTCGAAAAGAGGGGTCTGTTNCAAAGCAGACAAAAATGGGATTGAAAATTAGTCAGAAGAGCCCGCGGAAGGTGAGGGGTGTCATTTGAAAAATGGCCACTGGGAGGGCTTGGCAACATTCACTTTTTGGGGGGTGAGTTTGTTTTGGGCGGATAATTAAAAAAATCATTGGTAAACCTACTAAAAATTGAAAATCAAATGAAATCTGAAGGACCAAACAACACATTGTTTTTTGTTTGAGAGGCTTCAGGGACTTCAGTTACCTGCCATGGCTCCAAACGTGGTTGATTTTACACCATTTTCAATGGAGCTTGAATTGGTTCAGTGCACCCTTCTATGCGTATGATAATTTTGCGCAATCGGCCGTCACATAGCGCCCTCTGTTGACTGGCAAAATTTACTGCCTGAACACAGAGGTCGAGTTCGGGTGGCCTGTTCTTGACACGGGTTTCTTGTTCTCGCGCTCGAACAGCAGGAACACGACTCAAGAGCACTGTTCTCGGAACAGGATCACACACCACCTCTTCGTCAGGGTTTTACAGGAACACACGGAAGAACTCGTGAGATTTTGATGTTTGAACAGCTGCAAAAAGCCAAAGACAATGGGAAGTTTTGCAAAATTAACATAAATTATTCTCCGTAGCACAGAAACGAATGTTCATGTTTATATAGAAAAGAATTCAGCCCATCCAAACATCAACTCTCGACGCCGCCATGTTGCTTGTCACTAACTACCATCAATAACCGATTGTTTGTTCCCGGCGTTCGAGCGGCCGACCCACGAACAACAAATCGAGCTGTTCGCGAACAGATAACCTAGCCGTCTTTGAACCAAGACTTGGCGATACACTGAACGTATTGTCTAAACAAGTTTTTATGTGTGTCTGTGTGTGATAATCAAGTGATAATCCACTGTGCATCCATATCTCGTTCATATCAGCTTAACCACTTAGAACATAAGATTTTAATTGCATGCATCGGCACATAAGAGTATTGGCGGAAAATCATGGAATTCAAATTTCAAACCGCTTTCAACATGCGTTTAATGTTCCGATGATGAACACTTTATATGTTAAATACGTTCATGTCAAAACGCATTCAACTGTTTTTTTAAGTGTTTAGTTTATAAACGCGTCAAATATTCTTGGGTTTTACAGTGTTCTCTCGATGTTGAACGAAAAACAGTGACTATACATCATTTTGGGAGATCGATGGTATCGGCTTTGTTGACGAATCTTTTTAGAATACAGACGCAGATTATGAAAATAGCGAACAAAGCCATACAAAATGTCAGGTTTTCTATGGTTTGTACAAAACATATGGATACGTCCAGCAAGCTTCATTATGCACAAGGTAAGCTTTATGTTTACATAGGGCCTACAAACTGTAGCTTAGAATTTATGTATCTAAACTCCTTCCTTACTCGTATCAAATCATATACCAAAAGTATAAACTGACAACATTTAAAAACAAATAGCACTACATGTATTATGAAACATTTCTCCTCCCTTTCAAGGTTTCCTTTGACGCCGAATTTCACTTTGCCGATAAAACGAAACGTTCATTCCCAGTAGGCTGCTACCGTGTCACGTGCATGAAATGCTGTATGGGAGTCAGGAATCGAGATCACGATAGCAGGCGTGGTTAGAAGCAGCGGCGATTCTATTTAACAGAATATCTCATTTAGAACCCGAGCTAGCCACTTGATGAAAGCTAAACAACTCAGTGTTTGTCCTGCGCGTTACCTTGGTAATTTTCTGTGACGTAAGGTTTTCCCATTACTTGCCTCGCTGAAATTACATTGTTAGTAATCCGTGAAAAGCCCAAGTGTTTATGGTGAGAAGACAGCTCTTACTGGTCATGGGCTCACACGTGAGGGCTGGGTACGAACAGCCTCATAAAAAAGCACCCGAGGCAGCCGCCTGGACCAGACGCCATCCCGGGGCAGGTTAAGAGAGCTGTGTCTCGAACTCGACTCAACAATTCTATTCTCTTAACAGAAAAGTAATTAGCAGGCATGGAGACGATCGACATAACGACTCCGTTCCCTGAATTGAGCGATGTTACTGACAGTGGCGGAAGTTTTGGTCTCGATTCTGAAAGCGAATGTTTCTTGCCCGGTCGAGAGCAAGCTCACCATAACAGCCGAGTTTGTCCATAAGTACATCTACTCTTCTTTTAGTGGGATACTATGCACCATTGTCATGCCTGTCGCGATATTTCTTGGCTGTACTCTTAATGACAGTTTCCTGTATGTAATGGCTAGCGTAAAATCCATGCAAACCGTCACGAACTTCTACCTGACCAATCTGGCCGTGTGTGATATGCTGTACCTGTTGTCTACATCCTACGAAATTCGGGCTTACGTCATATCCGGCACCGTGACCCGTAACACTCTCAAAGATGGCCACATCTCGTGTTTGACACTGCTTTTCGAGAATCTCTTCTATCTTGCCTCTGTGGCATTCGTCACTCTGGTCACGATGGAGCGATTCTTTGCCATCTGCCATCCGATAAAGAGCTTGGCCCTCAACCGCCGTGGGTGCACCATTAAGCTAGCCGTGGGTGCCTGGGTGGTCACTCTGCTCGTAGCATTCCTGTACACCATTCAGTTTATCTACCTGCGGGGAATCTGCGTCGTCTGGCCTGACGGGGAGAGCTATGCTCACTTACCAAAGGTGGTGGGTCGGTGTAATGGGTCTCTCATTCCGAAGCATTTTACCATCTTCCCAGTCATCATCCGGGGCTGCAAGACGATCACGTTCCTGGTACCTTTCATCTGCTGTTGCTACATGTGCGTCAGGATCACTGCAGCGCTGGGTAAGAGGCCTATCCCATCTGCGAGGACTGGCGCCGGCTCAAGCGGCAATGCGGAGCGGGTCCGTCATCAAGTTACACGAATGTTGCTCATTAACACCTCGGTGTTCTTCTTCTGCAACATTCCGAGTGGTGTATTGCACGTCATTCGATTCTCTGCACTGGTTTCCGGGGTGTCGTTTGTCTTCGAAGGCACAGTCACCACCATCGGCCATATCGCCATCATCTGTACCCTTGTTAACTCAGCGATCAACCCAATCATCTATAACGGGAGCAATCCCCATTACCGCCAGGCGTTTCTCTATGCCTTTACGGCGCGGCTGAGGTACGAGCGCGGCGGACGCAGCGAGCAATCCTCCCAGCCGTCAACCGTAAGTCAGCGAAGGGTTGCGGTGTCAACAGTAACGACGGGAGACACCTCAGACAAGTAAAAGGTGCAATACGAAGTAATGTCATCGAGAAGGTATCATTTCCGTTGGAATTGAATTTTTATTATTGTTATCATTATTTTTGGAGCAGAAGTGTACAAAAGAGGAGGGAAAAGTTCGACGACTTAGTTAGCACATTCATTTTTCTGAGCTTCCTGTTGCTATCTGTGAAATAATTTTTAGAACTTCTTAAAACTATCCCCACGTGATTTGTAGCACCACGTTCTTTTCAGTTGAAGTTTTTGCCGATTCATGACTGTGATCAAAATTTTTTTTTTCAAGATGATCACCTTTTTCAAGGTGATCAAATTATTCTTTTTTATAAACGTATAAGGTCAATAAATATTTTGTAACCCAAGGTCTTTTTTCTTTTCATATAACCCACAGCCAGGAGAATTGTCTTTCACATCACTCCAGCAGTTAGTATCAAGCACTGTAGACTGAAGGAGGTAACAAAGGAACACTTCATCACTGAATCTAAACGGATAGCGTTCGTACAAGCTACAGGTGTTTTCAGCAATGTAATTGGGAAAATATGTTTCGTCAATCACGATGAAATGTTGTGATTTAATGTAAGATTTTTTAGGAGGTAGTTATCTGCCTCCCTCTCTAAACCAAAATTGAGGGTTGCTCATATTCAATGCGGTTGCCATCATACAGCAAAGAGAAATACCTGGAAATCCAGCCTGATGGGATATTTCGTGTATATCTTGAGCGTTCCTGAAATAGGTTTTCTTCTTTGCCTTGGGACACCAACAACATGAAATGAAGATTACTATTATTATTTCTCATCAGTGATTCTGAATAAGTAATGATTCCTAATCATCGCATGTTTTTAAAAAAGCCGATTTTAAGACATGTATGAGTGCTAAAATACAAGAGCTTGTATGTTGCAGTAACTTGTAATGACGCAGTTTTAAATAATTAGAAATGTGTTCTGTTATTTTGTAAGTATTGTAGAAATATTATGAGTGCAATAGTTAGATTTCATGGGGAGACATATTGTATGCCCTATTTAAGAGGCGAGGCCAAGTAGAATGGGATATTTAATCTGTCAACATATTATATTATTCTTTCCTCGAAAGTGAAATTATTATTATTTATTATATATTATTATTACATCATTATTTTTATACTACGCCTAAATAAATCTGTTTGTGCATGACGCCGGTTTACTCTCTCTCCCTCGAGTAAAATCGCCAGTAGTTTTCCCGTTCTTTTGGGCAATACTTAAAGAGCACCTCTAAGGAAAACATGTTTTCTCTGATTTTATGTGTTCAAATAAATACGGAGGCAACCAAATCGAACGCAGTGTCATTTGTCTTCAGAGCTCAACTATGATAACCTAAAAATGGCTTTTTTCTGTTTATGCCAAGGTGCGAATTCTGGATGTACCGGTAGATTGCGTCATTCGAGAAAAAAAACAGCATCTTGGCATGAGCAGAAAAGAAGCCCTTTTTAGATAGTTGAGTTATGAAGACAAGTGACAGTGCGTTTGATTCGGATGCTTGCATATATTTATTTGAACAGATAAAATCAGAGAAAACACATATTCCTTTGAAGTGCTAATTAAACTACGGAAGTGTAAAAGGGCCACTTGCAAAACAATCTTTTTCGAATTACCATCTCGCCACGTCGAGATAGTAACTGACATAGTAACTGAGGTAGCAAAGAAGATCGAATCCCCACAATCAGGATGGATCATTAGACTCATTATGTCTCTCGGTGATCAAATAATAGTCTCTTGAACAGCGCAGCACTTACATTGTGGTGTTTAGATGATTGGCTGTGGGAAATCAGGAATAATTGGGGGGAGCTTTTGAGCTTAAAGCTTGAGGTACTTTTCTGCCTACTTTCATACGTATACAAAAATGCAATTTAGGTCTCCCTTGGAAAAGTTTCTATGCCGCGAAGTTCACTTTTAATTTTCAATTTCAGGGTCAAAGAGGTGACAAGATGGCCCGCCACATAGCTGCCGCATGTTAAAATTACCATTGACTTCGTAAGGGCATTTTGCAACGGATTCAAAAGTTACTCTCTGCTTATTTTAACTCGATAAATTTATAAGATTAATGAATGAAATAACCCAGTCCCTTTAACAGATTTTTCATCCATGTTCCATGATCCTGTAAGAAACATGTTTTGACTAATTTGAGGGGTTTGAAAAGCCTACCAGCTAGCCATTACGCATTTCTCCAATGTAAGTTCTTGACGTTAAATAGGACGTTGAGGAAATGAGCAGGGAGAGTTTAAAAAAATTGGCTGAAACACAAAACCCTCATGATGAGTACGAATTCCTATCTTTAATAGGCCATGTCTCCCGGCCCATTCCGCCGCTCAACAAATGTCTTTCCGGATCTTCCTTGAAATACTTTGTTCGCTATAGTTGAAGACCAATTTTGCACGAATAGACCGTGACAGGGTCCCGAGATTTTGCCGTAATTAATCCCTGGAGCGAAGTTCACGGTCCAGCGCAACATCGAAGGAGGACGCGTTTTAATAGGAGGTTTGTTCACACGGGTTGAATGATTTGTTATTTCAATCGGACACTAATGCAGTTTTCACTGTGGAACAAGGAAATACCCACACACACACAAAATTCAAGAATCCTCTCCCTAAGTAGCGGATCTAGCAGCGTTAGGACCGTCATCAAATCATTTCTATTTACAAGGAATCCCCCGCTTACGCTTCATGGGAACTTTTAGTTCAAAGTCAATTCGTCAGAGCGAAAAACATCACCAATAAAACTGCCGTTATTGACGGATGGCAAACTCGCTTCGCTTCTGCCGTCGATGCTCGTGACGTAAAACCCACCTTCTAACAGAGTTTGTTTTTTAACCTCTTGATGCGACTGGGGAAACAGTGCGGTAACAAAACCTTTCACTGTGTCTAACAATAACGAAGAGAGGCAGTATCACGAATTATACTTAAATAATAAAAGTATGAGACACCTTCTGTAACCACTGAGAATGTGAATTGTTAGAAAGCAAATTAATTATACGGCGTCTAAGGTCTGCAGTCGAAATCACTGAAGAACGAGTCACTGGTCACAAGTCCATTATCACGAAAGAGAGCGATTTCGTCGATGACGTGCTGGCGATGAACGTGACATAAAAACCAAACTTCAAGCAGCAATTTGTCTTTACCTCTTAATGCGACTGGGTTAAAAGTACGGTAACGTTGTGCCTTGAAATACTAGGTCTTTCTGGTTATATTACGAAGGACAGAACGATTGTTTGTTCATTGTTGACAAGGGCATGGGTGTCAAGGGGATTCGGATAAACCAGGGGATATCCTCCCACCCCTTCCAACGATAAGAATGTAATTGTGAGTTACAAAAGTACCCTCTATTTTTTTAAATCCTTTACTGGTCTTAACAAAAGGAGAGCACCAATAACGCAACTTAAACCTCTGTGATAAAAATGTGAAAATACCGTGTGTAACGGCACTGTTTGGAATGAAGGTATTTTTATGACATTGCTTCAGAGACCCGATGCTTAAAACAACATTTTAAAGCAATTAAGCCATACCAAATCTCGAAAGAAAATTTCTTTCAACAGTAATAATCAGAAAACAAACTTTTGTCTATCACGTGTCATTTCTTAGAAAGCTCATTAATTATATTTACAGCGTCTATGGTCTACCGTCAAAACAACTGAAGAACGAGTCATCGGTCACAAGTCTCGTCATCATAATAGAAAAAGTTCGTTTAATAAAAAAAGAAGTTTGCAGTGTCCGAAGTTTGATTTTTTTTCCTGAAAAGAGTCGTCAATAGAGCTCCTTGAATAAGTGAGTTCTTTAAGTTATACAGTGATCAGATCATCCAACTGCTATTTTAAGGGGAAATCATTTAGAATGTGAATGTTTGAAAAAGAACCATTGGGAACCTCGAATAAATCTCAATATCGTGGGTGTAAATCCCGGGGAGATGGGGGCATATGTCCCCCTACTTTTGAGGTGCAGGATGGGCTATTGAATCACCTCCCCCCCCCCCAAAAAAAAACACACACACACAAGTGTGTAAACGCCTTCAATCGTGGACTCCCTATTGTTCCTCTTTTGTTCACACTTAAATCTTTGTATTTCAAATTATTTCATTTCCGTTTGAATATATGCTTTGGTTTGGGAGGGGTTTGATATAAAACAGGTTTCAAATAATCAAACCATCTGCAGTTCTGTATATACGAATAGCTGTTCCTAATCCATTAAGCACAGCAGGCTATACACGTATAATATAAAGGAAGAGCTAGTTAGTCTAGGTTGGCGCTATATGGCAGGTCTTTATCTTGGGTAAAGGATTGCAACTACGTCCTTTTTGGGCTCTGTTTACATTCGAATTCGTCAGGGTAAGCCTAGACATTTAGATGTCATACAAACGAAATAAGAGCCATCAATAATTTCAAAACAAAAAACAAATAGGGACGCAAAACAATACAAGAACCAACTAAGCGTTACATTAAGATTTTCAAAAATGTAGACTGAAGTGCAACAATGCAATAAACCTGTGCAAAACACCAGTGCAACCTGGCCAAAAAAAATTAAACAGTAGGGAAAAGCAACATTCCTAGAATCAGAAAAAGAAGCCTTTTTGAACAACCCAAAAAACCAAGTAGGCCTGCCATACAACAGATTAATAAAGCCAATGCATGCGCTGTGCAGCAATTGCATGGACAAATCCTAATCAAAAGGCTAAAATGGATTATTTTCTTTAAAGCTTAAGATTTAAAACACGAAATTATCGGAACGGCAACAACCTACAAAATCTTCAAAGATATGATACAACAAATTAATTAAGAATTGCATAAAGATAATGTAGTCTATAGAGAATTCTCAGTCACGTGATTTGGAGGGTCAGAGTTCAATTTACAAATGTGTGTGCAGAAATGTGCGCGCCTTCGAAGTATCTCAACATGCTGGTGTACATGAAACTGCCAAATGAAATACACAGATTCGAAACTGCACGTGCCTCTACAGACATGGCACGCTTCCTTCGCCCGTAGTGTTACGTCACTTGAAAAACCTCAATAATTCAAACTGTGTAACTTCAAAAATACATTTTAGCAATTTTGTTCCAATATTTTGTTCTATTCCTCATTAATTTCCCTTGTATTACCATTTTGGATTTCTTACATCTAGCTAGCGTTTATGGTCTTTATACAGCTGATTATAATTCCTGTACAACATCGGCGAGCTACAATAATGTAGCTTTTGTATGCAAACTGTAACAAGGACAGACCCCACGCCCATAAAAATCAGTTAATTCTACAGTACAAAATCTCTTGTATCTCCTTGCTTCCTTTATGTAAAACATCTGCTTGACAAATCCCAATGATCCATCTTACGTAAATGGAAGCTCCGGTAAATTTGAATGCCCCAAAAGGACTAAATCAACTTCAGTGGACTATTTAAGTCCTTGTAAAGAGTGTTCAACCGGAGGTTGACTGTAACCCTGAAATAGCCGCCCCCGGCACGTCTGTTTGTTTTTGTTTGTTTGTTTTTTCGATATTACTGCCGTGCCTTTTTGTTTAAGGACTTGAGCCTTTGGGAGTTTTCATAAAACTCTCTGTGATCACTTTGACACCAATGTTGCGAAAAACAATTGTACCGTTCTTGCGCAGGGCGCATTTTCCCGAGATGTTTTAGCCAAAAATGTATACTTTTCCACTACTGTGCCCAATGCACGGGCTGCCACGCATGTAGCCTTGAACTTCAAATTTGTAATGATATATAGGAAGTGTCTTTACCGAATTTCAAAAGGCATAGACAAATTCTGGGGGCGCCCCTCGGCTGTAAGCTGGATCAAAATAACCCGGCTCTTTCAGGATTAAATCGCATGATCTTTTAAATAATTAAACACATCTCTGGTTGTGCATTTTAATTCGTGTTGAAATCAATGATTCAGAACCTTGGCATTCGTGTAAAATCTTAATCATGAAAATACCTGGGGGGTGTCAGTGAGACTGTGGTCGTACTTCCGATAAATGTAGTTGTTCGTCAGAGTACGCAGTGGCCAAACTGGAATAGGCGCTATCTTTTTGGGTAAAGCACGGTTTCGACACCGTGGCTGTGTCTTCACCTAGTTGCCTAGCATACACAGGAGATCTTTGCAAAGAATCACTCATTCTTGTCCCCAACTGTCCTGTAGTTTCCCTTCCTCCCTGCCCTTCTCCTGTGCTCCTTCCCATCAAGACACTGCTGTCATTTTCGGCATTGTTGTTGATGTCATGGTTTGGGCTAGGACTGGCAGCGACGACGTACGCCCCACACCTCATCAACTGAACATCGATAGCCTTGATGGCGAACTGTACATCTCTACGGTTCAGTTCGTGGAGGGCCCGTCTGAGATCCCGCAAGGATTCAGCCTTTCCTCTGCCAGTCGTCATCGATTCTGCAAAGAAGGCGTCCAGAACGAGCCCGCATGGACTGCGGCGTTCAAGCCGAGCCCTACTCTCAATTCTCCTTATCAATCCGCATCCTTGGTCACTCAGTCCCGGCAGGTTTTCAGGGAGGCGGCGCCAATCGACGGGAATGGGCATCTCCAAGTCCAGCACATCGCAGAGGTCCTGGTAAATATCTTCAGGTAAAAAATGCTCGAAGGTGATCGAATCGTCTCTGTGAATAGGGAGTTTGTCCATCATTACCTGAACTAGCTTTTTGGTAGACGCCAAGTCATGTACACGTACCTAGTGGGGAAATGGTTCGATTACGATGACAAAGCTGCGTGAAACGTTTGAAACCCAAACAAGTACCTGACAAATAATAATAAAAGACGGATCCTGTTCTGTAATATTCAGCCCAATGGCTAACTAAATCCTTTGGGAGGTTTGAAATTTCAGTCTTTGCATCACGTTTATTTATTAAATAATAGCCTCAAGAGTCACGTTTTAGAATTGGCAGAGGAAAAAAGTGAATAAATAGGAACATATTTTAGCGGGAGGGACTGCAAATATTCAAACTCAGTCCGAGTCAGGTTGCCAGTTTTTAAAAGTAGTTAAAAAACCAGCGTTTTAAAATCGGTACTACCAACTGATCTTTAGGATTGAGGATTCTTATAGGGGTAAAAAAATTTTTTTAAGTCAGCTTTTGCTGTAAGTGCCAATTCTGACCAAGTCTTTTTATACATAACAGTCTAAATTATTACTCACGTTTTGATGATAACTTACCTTAGTAGGACTCTTCACAAGGAATTCCACTTCGACGTGGCCTTTGACTGTCATACACGCTCTGAAGGGTGTCTTCACAGAGGAATTACGGCTGGCGAAAAACAGTTTGGACGGGTAAGCCGAAACACGGTCTGAAGTACTGGGTCGCCACAAAAACCAGTTTTTGAACGTCTGCAAAAGTCATTTAAAAATACGTAAAAGGGATCAGTTTGAAAAAATCAACGAAATCAATTTTCATCTTCTGTCTTAGGCCCATTAAGGTCGATAACCAAAGTGGCACATGAAAAACCTATCAATCAAAGTCATTCAAGAGAGACGTACCTTCAGCGACATACCTATCCATGAAAACTTAGCCAGTCAGCCATAAAAACGACAAACAAACCGCTCCAACCAACAAGTGAACCTCCACCAAAACTAAGCCAATCTACAAACTAATTTATCCAACTCATATCAACAAGCCAACCAACCAGGCCAGCTATCGGCCAATCGTCTCAAATAGACAATTCATTATCGAGCCCGAAAAATTAAATTCATTTATTCACTGCATAACAAATAAGATGTTCATAAACCCCATACTTCGTTCATCGCGCAATCATGTACAATCCACGCATTTAGCTAACCTGAAATAAATAAATATCCAATTATATCAACAACCACCAATAGTTAACCTAGTGACGATACAAACCAACCAACATGTCAACTGTATTAACCTGTGCACAGATTAGCTCTTGCTTTCACATCAGCAAACATTCAGCAACTTGTGAGTAAAATGTCGAAAGGGTGTACAAACCAGCCATTCCATAACCAACTTGACGACCTAAAACAAACCTAGCCACACTTCCAACAAGTTGACGAACCATTAAGTTTAAGCGATAATTTCCACCTACGTGGGTGCCACATGCGGGTTTGGTGATTTCCCAACATTCTGATTCAGACGTCAAGGTTGCGATCACATCTCCTCCATCTCGCTCCACCCAAATTTGCTCCTCCATGTCAGCAAGGTAGAAGTCATGCTTTTTCTCACTCAACTCGACTTCCTATAAAGGAAAGAAACGGTTGGAACCAAACTGAAGTTTCAGCAGTCTGAAAAAATCACTTCACTTTACCTGTATTACTTTCATTTCATTACATTTTCGGTCACTTTCATCCAGACAAACAGGAACACACGACTTTGGGTCTTATTTCACTCTTTATGTACTAACTATATACATGCATCGTGGGTTAGGGAGAATTTTTCAGAAGAAAGCTAACTGAGCTGTAATGTACAGGTGTATATTGAATCAAACCTATAACTTACTCTCAGGTCAGATTTGGTGTTGTTGATGATCCGGAGTCGAATAGCAGCTTTTCCTGCCGTGATGTCCTCGTTGATAAACACGCAAGCCAACATGGACTTGGCCGAGACAAGAGCACATGCCACATAACCACAGAAATGATCCATCGTCACGGTGATGGAATGACTCTTCACCAACACCAATCCATCCACGCCATCGCGGATTTTCCAAATGTCACGCCCCGACATTGATTTGGTGAGGGTGAAAAGATGGTTGGTTGCATCCTGTGCGCAGTGAGGGAAGGTCAGAAAAACATCTTTGCGGAAGCGCAGAGCAGAGGGGCCACAGTGAATGCACGGAGTGAGTTGGTCCTTATCTTTGATCATGTTACCTTCCACAAAGATGTAGACCAGCTGTGGTGGTCCATCGGGTACGGCACCAAACGGAACATACAGATGGACATCCAGATCATCAATGGATAGGTACCCACCTCGCCTGTCTAGCATAGCCCCAGCAAAGTTGGATATCTGAAAGACGCGCCCGACTATGTCAATACAAAGATTCATTGCGCATTTACGCATCATATCAAAGGCCTCCAGATACGCTTTCTTCTCAAAATTGGCATACTGGTTGAGATCCCGGGAATCTGACGGTACTTCGATGTGAGCAGAGCACGGCTCGAGTTCTGGCGATGGTGGATTCCTCTTTTCCTCCACATGAGGTGGTTGGTAGGCATCATCAGTGATCTCAGCTGAGTATTGCATGTCGAAGTCCCTATTAGACCTCATCGATACCGGTGAAGGGATGCAGTGGCTTGCAACGCTTAGGATTCTCCGGATGAAAATCACATCAAGAGGTGTAGAAGATGGCCCTCCCTGCACAGCCAGTGTACCGCCGTTTGAACCCTCTACCCTGACTGGATTCGCTGGAACTGCTGATGAGAAATTCTGCTGGGAGATATCGTTGTGTACTCTCCCGTGCTCTTCCCAGTCCTGGAGGGAGATGGCACCGCGTGAGCTTGTTGCACTGGGCAGGGATGTACCCATGCTGTTAATTCGGAGAGCTTTGTCGTTCGTAATATAATTACTGCCTGTCCAGTATCCTCCATGGGTGTACGAGCTAATGCCCCATGCGCTCTTTGTTAAAAAGAGCGAGCCTTCCTGGCCATGTTTAGCAACCTCGGCCTCGGTCTCCAATCTTATCGAGTCGGGGATCAATAAATTTGGGGTTGAAGTGCAGGAGCGTTGTCTGCTTTCCTCTTCGTGTAATCGGGGTTTTCGATCAGGCATCCAGATAGTTGAAGACGGCCTGTTGCAAACCTCAGAGCTAGAGATGGTCGCGATAGCACGTCCAGTAAGAGGTTGTCGCGTCTCAGCCTCCCTCCATACCGTGCACCGATGGCCGTCATCATCGGCTCCATGGCCTAAATCAGGATTGCTGATAAAGGCACTACCTGAACAGGTATCCTGAAGGTCTCGGAGAAAATAGGAAGAACCTCCTCTTGGGCAATCTCTTCCTGGTTTGTCAGCTAGCGACGAAGAATACTTGAATCCTGAAACCGCTCCCTGTCCATGCATTCTATCGTGCCCAAAATTGATGTCATTGTTTTCATGGCGTGACAGCCGGTCCGGGACGACTGACAGTCGGTCTCGAGTGTGTCTTTCAGTCCTCACATTTGTAACCTGCTGACCCTCAAAAATGATTTAAAAAAGCCATTGTTAATATCAAAGTATGACAGGAAAATTTGTTAAGATGTAAAAAATAATAGGCCTACAACGAGAATGAAAACTTCCAAAACTTTATTTGCAGGTTTCATGAGGTGAAACGAAGCCGCCCTTAACCTCATTAAATAACAACATGCCTTTGAGTTGGTGATAACTCTTACCTTAGGATATCTACGAGTTCGTAGAAGCTCTTGTGACCCACTCTCCGCGCCCACTGTGTACCTTCGCTGCACGGTGCCATCCACTCCACGAGCACTGTGCTTCTGTTGGGTCATTCCACCGCGATAGAGGTGGGACGACCCCCATCGGAGCTCCTCGCTACCCGGTTCATCGGGGATTGCCAGGGACGCCGCTGAATTAAACCCCGAGTCCGACCTTTCGTGCATCAAGCTCTTGCCGATGTAGCGGTCCTCTCTGTGAAATGGCACGCCGCCGGAAACAGTTGCTAGTCGCTCTCTGCCCTCCATCTCTAATAACTGATGCTGTGGTCGGCTGCTCATTTTGAAATCTGGCACCGGCAAAATAAGTTGCATTTAAAATGCGCTCAGGGTCCAAAATGAAGTTCGAAAAAAGTTGTGAGATGAAAGGGCCTTAGTAATATGTTACCAAACCAGGCGTTGTAAATTAGTGTGTATTCCGTCGCAATGGTATGGGGCTACACGTTCTCTGCAAGTTTTATGTCAGTGACTCAATTTTAAAGGAATATAGTATTATTAACCACGTGCTATTAAGGGTGGCAAAATAATTTATGCATTAATTGTTTTCCCCAAATTCCTCTATTTTGCGTGGAATATAAAAGGGATGTTTTCGTTAATTTAGATACAGCTGTCATTAATATCAGACACTGAAACCCCTAACACTTGACATGCAGCGAGTGGATAACCTTAGGGCTTAGGCAGATATCAACGTGAATGATATACTGCCCTCTGTCTCGTTCAATATTCATTACATTTTGGCAGGGAACGCTGCAACGCATCTGCATGTTTGTCTGGCAAAGCATCATGGAACAGATGTTAGTCCAAGAACTTACACCAGACAAATAATTCTTCCCTTTCTTTCATCAGGACGTAAAATGTTTGACATGCATAGAATTTCAGTGTACAAATACTATTGTAAAATCGCCGCTTTAATAACGAATTCTTCCATTTCAGATGTGTTACGTTTCTTTCCCTTAAATAAGTTCTCTTTCTGTGAGCAAAAAAGAAAAAAGTCCAGTTAAACACAAGGCCTATTCTGACTTGTTTTAAAACAATGGTCCGTCAGATCAGTATTTGAATTTCAAAAATTGTTCAAATTTGCTTTTCGTGTGGTCTTTTGGTGAATGTTTGAGTTCATTCTTATCGAAATTGTCTTTTCACTGATTCACATTTTTCCAACTCTGAGAGTGGTTGAACAAACGTTTAATTTCAGTTGGCAGACTTTTTTGTGTTCAAACCTCATATTCTTGTCCATGGAAAGAAATTTGATTCATATTTGCTGGTATAAAAGGGGATAATTATGCCAAAGAGAAAAATCCAAAAAAGGGAAAAAATGGGAGCAAAAACAGGTATGTCTTCGTGTTGTTACAGTGAGCTTCACTTTGTTTCTACCAGCCTTTGTAATCTTTCAATTTGAAACCATCCTAGTGCATCATAATTACAAACAGAAGAAGAAAACTGAACAGTACATGCGCACACAATCACAAGGTATCCTGCCTTAATTTCATGTAACTCATTTTTAGATAATCTCACCAGCGTAGCATTTTCGTCATAATTACAAGACAATGAATTCGGGGAATGGTCATCAAAACGAGCAACATTTGTGCACTGAACTTGGCAATACTTAGGCCTTTTGTAAGCCATGTCATATCTAAATTAATGATCAAATCAAGTTTGAATACAATAATTTTAGACGAAAATAAAATGGATGAAAACATCCACTGCATTTTCGATAGAAACGCATGATGTCATTTTGGATGCCCATAAAAATTATGACTAAAATGAATCCGAGCGATATGGTAGGACTTCAATTGCTGAAAATAACCCAAAGATGAAAAACTTGTATCAGATTGAACGTGAACATGAACATTATTTTTCTGAAATCAGTCATAAAACAGTATTGGTAAAGCATTTGCGAATGCACTGTGCGGTAGACGGAAAAGGAGGCCAGACAGAACAACTTGGGCCCTATGCATACTGGCTCAGAAAGTGTGCAGCAGGCCTACGTACTTCATGTTTCCTGAGCATAATGTGCATATGACGCAAGTCGTTCTGCGTGGCCTTCTTTTCCGCCTACCGAAATGTGCCGGTGGAGGCAAATTTTGTGATTCCTATACGCACCCGCAGTTAAATACACGTAACCTTGGGAGAAAAATGAATATTCATGTTACCCCGAGAGGAGAAAGGTTTCTGTTTTCATGTGAATGTGTTTACTGAGGCGTACTGTACCTCGACAGATGTTGATCCCAGCCTGTCTCGCGCCCCAACTTTTGTGGGTCCCAGACGATGTCGTCACAACCTTCAAATAAGTGGAATGGGGACTTTCCAAAAATGATTTCGAAACCGATATCTTAATTAATGAAGTATTTTTTCTGAAACACAAAAGTTATGAGTAGGGTTAGTGTCTTCCCATGAGAAAGTATAGGTGGACAGTAGGTTATATTATTAATTTCCCGTGTGTTGTGAATTTTCATGATAATTGAGTTCGACGTTTTACCTTATATAAAAGTCAACCGAAGGTTTCATTGAAATATGGCAAGTAACGATGTCACTTGATGTTCCAGTCTGTAATAAAAATTGACTCAAACTGTTTTGTTCTCGTATTGGATTCGGTACCACAAAATGGGACCCTGCTGTCGCGTCTGTTCACATTGGCCTACACCTGCAACGGAAACTGCTATACTGAGGCTTATATTGTTATTCCAGTGAAATTTATTTTGAAAAAAAGTTACTCTACTTTAAGTCATCATGAGAACCATCCTAATGCCATGTCAATGACAATATTTAAGCAACATAAAGTTTCGACATCAACATATTGACGTACATGTTAAAGCCGACAGCTTTTATCGGCAGTCTCATCACGCGAGCAAAACTTGGTTGTCATGGGTTTCCTCTCCGTACGATAGCTATTCACCCTAGGAACACAATCAACTTACCTGCAGGAGATAGATTCTCTTGAAAACCAGTGCAGTTAGAGTAAGAAGCAAGCGATCTTCACACAATATTCAAGACATGCATAGTCATAAGCTTGCAAAGGGAAACATGAACGGGTTAATTCGACACAGAGTGGTGAAATATTGGTACAAGTTAATGCATTGGGCCCTGCGTAGAGGCCTATTTATGCGGGTGCATCGGTGCGAGACAGCCAACCCAATTGTTCGCTGAAAAAAAGGCCTGCAGGGAGACTGAAACTCCAGCCTACATACAAAATACGACAATATGGCTTAGGGAAACGTAAATTGGACAAAACTTGGGGTTTTCATATCAGATGGGTTTACTGGTCTGGGATGATTTTGTAAAGCTGCAGTAGAGTATATCTGCGTATTACGTGGACACTTCGATTACTATTGAAGAACATGCGAGTAACGCATAGCTCAAACAGATTTCCAATGCATGGAGCGGAGACCTAGACATAGCTCTATAGATAACAGATTCGGATACAGCCCTATGACAAGAAGGGGAATGATGGTTCTCAGTGGGGCCAAACCTAACCAAAATACTTTGCGCATTGCTGATAATGAGCAATACAGGCTTACAACAGACTGTAAAGATTTGGTTTATCAAAGACAAGTATAAAACGACGTTTGTTTGACGTTGCATCGTGATTTTGACGCTACATCAGAAACGCTGGAGATAATCTGCAGTGAAACTTTCTTTCAGCAAATTCTTCAGTGCCCGATTCTTCACTTGTGAGTAAAAAAAGGCCATTGTCTGAATTGACATCGGGATGCACGAAACAGTTGGACGGGTATGTTGCTGACACCTGTACATAATTATTACAAATCCACGGTTAACTTTTCAAAAACTATTTGGAGAACGTCGTTACGTAAAACCCTCGGAGGAGAATCCTCAAAGAGCCGAGGGCGGACTCCGCCCCGGGCGTTTTTAGGGTTAAATCAGAAAAATCACTCTCAAGTGTAGATTCATATTTTATTGGAGTGAAGTGCATTCTTCTTCAGGCTGTCATTGCCTTAGTACAGCATACCATCTGGACATCACAAGGACGATCTTGAGGAGTCTTCAGCACCGTTATAGAAAACGTCACTGGTTTGAGTTTAATACCCTTTTCATTGTGACATATTCACTGCGGCCAACTACAGTTGGCTGCAAAACTAGTGTATCTATCTTGTGATTCAATCTAAGTGAGCTCCGGGTTTATATGAAAAATAGGTTTGCGGGTACACTGTGGAATCAATCTCAGCTATCCACTCCAGTCTGGCACATTCCCCTGAGGATGGCCAGAGCACACTGGCCGAAACGTCGAGGTAACACTCACGGGTTCTTACTATAAAAACCACACCATTGATTCCATGGTGTACCTGCAAACCTATTTCTCATGTCTCTTCCACCATTCATTTCTTCAAATCTTACTTATCTTCGCTCTGTACGGAGAGCTTACAGTTGAGTTGGGTCCTACGAGCGTACTTCCATCTGACACTCAAGGTACATCAACAACCTAGCTTTCCTCAAACGCTGCCGGGACTCGCACATCACCCCACCAGGTCTCAAGCTCCACGATCCCGCTTGCAGCAACTGTTCCCTTCACGTCTTGCAGTCAGCCAGCCGAGCCCCCCTAAGAGAACGTATCCAACACAGAAGACACACTCTCAGCCATCTGGACAAGGACATCGCTGCCATCAAAGCCGCCCTCAAGTCGACCCTACACCTGCAGGGTTTCGTCAAGGTCTCCTTTACCCAGTCCTCCAGCCGCCACGCGTTCACCGCTTCCCGCAACAAGCAACCCCGGAAATTCCAGCGCCTTTTCCATCGGGGGATGAGATCGTCTATATCTCTATTGCAACGCCCCGAGCCTAAGGGATCCCCTATATTCCGACAGCAAACACCATCCGTTTCCCTCCCACCCCACCTCCGCAGCCAGAGTGAATTCCACAGACACACCGTCATGAACCTCAGCCAACGCACCCTGAAGACAGATGTCCTCTCCTTAGGCATGAACTTCGCCACCCCACCACGCGCCGTCCCCCTAGCCGACATCATCCGAGCAACGGAACCTGCCATACGGAAGCTCGACAAGACCACAGCCGATAACATCCAAGTCAAGATCCATCAAGCACTCCAGCACGCCAAACGGGCCAAGCCCAACCTCACCAAGCCCGAAGTTGAAGCCCTCCATGATCTCCGCAGCGACAAGTCCATACACACCATCACGGCCGACAAGGGCAACGCTACGGTGGTCATGGACCGTGAAGCTTACTCCAACAAGGTACAAGACATCCTCACATCCAGCACCTACCGCCCCCTACCCAAGGACCCCACCCAAGCCATCGAGACGCATCGCCATCCACCTCCTCGCTCTCCACCGTTCCGACTCCATCCCAGCAGACCTGTACCGTCGCCTCCGCCTGTCGGCGTCTACCTGTCCAAGATTCTTCGATCAACCCAAGATCCACAAGCCAGACATCCCCGTGCGCCCCAGTCTGGCACACTCTCCAGAGGATGGCCAGACTACACGGGCGTGAAACATCAAGTTAAAACTCACCGGTTCTTTTAAGAACCACACCTCGCCCAAAAGAGATTGATTCCATGCATGGGGTACCCGCAAACCTTTTTCTCATGTCTCTTCCACCAAGCAAAACTTCAATCTTACTTATCCAGGTTTATATCTGCAAAATCCTTCACTTAATAAGCTAAAGAAATAAAGTGAACATCACATTAAACTTCTGGGGTGTGTAATATGTTCTTTTTTTAATATTCAGACTTTTGTTTACATTTATTGAAACAAAGGTCCCAGCAGTGTAAAAAAATGACTTGCCAAAAACTAGCTTTGCAAAATGTACTTGTGTAAAACCCAGTGTCGCAACTAAACACAGGCTCCGCCATTACAAAAATTTACATGCCCGCCTCGTAAAGGGATATGAATGCAGACTCAAGATAGCGCACAATAACCGCGCATTGGATGGAGGGCGCTGTTTAGTACCTGGTCACGCGCATATATGGACAAGCTAGATCGCGGCCACCCCGCTGTAAGAAAATTGCATGTACCGGGGGTTATGATGTTACATGACAGTACGATGGAATGATAGACCTACATGTAGTGTACTATATATTCATGATTTTGAATCGCTATCATGTTATTTACGGATCCCACCAAGTATCGAATGCAGAAGGAGGCACTAATACATTAAATTCTGACTAGAAACTACCTCTTCGTTACTATTACTACACTGTAGGCCTAGGCCAGTAGCCTACTGCCTATTGTCCACCGGATCATATGCGCCAATTTAAAAAAAAACAGGTAGGCTAAAGACCGGAAGTGACACGAAGTTTGAAGTGAGTGCTGGGCATGCCATGGCATGATAAGTTACCGCCGATACCGGTACGACATAGAGCAAGGAATATGGTTATGACCAGTGATATAAACTTGTGTCAAACATTCACATTGTACGAGACCCGTATGAATTATTTTGTTGTGGGGCCTATCAACCATGTGTACGGCCCATTAAGATTTTACGTAGGGGATTGTAGGTAGGAAAGAAGTCATTGCATTTTAACTCCACTTCTGCAGTTGGGTACTTCTGGAAACAAAAGGTACCTACGTACACACAGAGGTAGGCCTACTTTTTGTTTCCAGAACTTAGAAGTACATGTAGGCCTACCCAGCCACTGAAGTGGTGTCAGGATGTGATCGTGCTATGGAGCAGCGCGAACATCCAGAAGTGCCACAAAATTGCAGGCAGCAACCACACCATGCCGATGAAAACAACTTTAACAAGCATGCGCGTACGTACTGATCAAAGAAAAGATTGTGTAATCCAATCTTCAGACTGGCTGGTGCGTGCGTACATCGCCATGGTCGCTGTTTTCACTGGCGTGGTACCTGCCATTTTGCAAGAATCCCGAATGTCTGGGCTGCCCCTAGTATTTGGTGTCAGCAAGCGTCAACACACACAAGTGGCATTCTCAAGTGTCAACAACTTGAAAATATTCTCTAAAGATTTCAAAGTGGTTTTATCATATTTGACAGACTTTAACATGTTGCCACTGTGTAGAGAAACAGCAATTTTTCTTCCAGATTCACACAGATTCTTTTCTCTGCCATCCATGCGAAAACAAGATGGCAGCCGGTCAAGCTGCACAAGCAGAACCGACTTTGTTGCTCAAATTTCCACATAAGAATATCATTATAGATAAATGTGACATATTGAATGATATATAGAAGCCTAATTAATATTGTAAATATAAAAGTTTGGCATAAATATGCTTGAATAACTTGTTGACACTGTGTTGACACTCGATGACGCTGGTCGGCGCTAAATAGCAGGACCTCCAGGATGCAACGTTCTGACATTGTAAAGTACGTCTGCTGTAACCTATATTACAAGTGGGCCTTGTAAGCCAAGGGCAAATGTAATACTTTGCCCCAGGTTGTAAGAATATGTCTCTAAAACATGCAAGAAGCCTGTAGCTGTTGGCTTAATTACATGTGTCATATTTCTAGCTTTACCCAAGTACATGTACATTTGGATACGGACTTAGTACGTGTATTAAAACTTGAGTCCATATTTGCCCTCTGTGTACATGTACTAGTAGAACGGTTGAGGCTTCATGTACTCACACATCTGAGCAGTGAGCAGCTGTGACATCAGTCATGTCATCGGAGAAATTCGAAAGATACCAGGAGGAGTTGCTCACACTCTATGAAGATTTGAAGTACCGGGTGGAGGTCACCATACCTAAATATGATGGAGGTGAGTTTATGGAATGCTTAAGTCACTTTTGGGTCAGTAAGGAGTTATACTGTATTTACAAAACTTCCAAAATTATTTGAGCCATTGTGGCTTTGTTTTGCCCCCCAGATTTTCCATCATTGGACAGAGTATTCTTCCCCACAAAATGTTTTGTTGTCAGGGCACCAGTACAACTGGCCATTGAATAGCAGAGAGCATTACTCGCCATTTCTGTGGTAATGATTATTTTGCAGAGGAACGTAAGAAGTTGATCCGTCATGCCGAGAGAGGGCTAGAGGAAGCAGCCATCGTGGTGAGTTACTTAAAAAGATGCTCCTCGATCTAGACCTCATTTCTCCTCCCCTTGACCTGTTTGCCCGCCTCGGCAAGTAGAAACCACTTGTAGCACAAAATGGCAGACTTAAACACTCCAACAGCCCTGGTATCATTTGAAACGTGAATTTGTGTTGTTAGAGTTTGTTCTGCTTTGTGCCATGACTGAAGTTTTGGTCTTAATCAGAGGCACCAAAATGTTGCCTGAATGTATCAGCTGTAAAGGGTCACCCTATTTCTGTCTCATCCAAATGCTAATTGAAATGAAAGGGAATTTCAAGGATTTCAGTACCTGTGTTCAGTCAAAGCAAAACAAGACAAGGAAAATTGTACGAGATCACAAGCTAAATATGAGGAAAAGATCATGAAGGAGTTCAAGAGGAAGCCAAAAGCTTTCTACAGTTATGTCAGACAGAACCAAAAGGTGACAGTTGGAGTTTCACTTCTTGGAAAAGGTCGATGGATCATTAACTGCGACGGACCAGGAAGCAACTGAGGAAATGAGTAAATTTGTCCAATTAGTCTATACCAAGGAACCAGACAGAGACCCCCCAAAATTGGACAAAGTTATTGATGTTGACTTGAAAGATGTTTCATTAACCCTAGAAGAAGTCATTATAGAATTAGACAAGTCCAGATAAGTGTCCTGGGCCTGACAGCATACATCCTAAAATTCTGAAAGAATGTAGCCATGAAATTGCAGCTCCACTCTACATCATATTTAGGAAATATCTTGCAGGGAAATTTCCAACTGACTGGAAAACAGCAAGAGTGACACCAATTGTCAAGAAAGGTAGCAAAACAAAACCAGGGAATTATAGACCAGTGAGACTTACCTGCATCCCATGCGAGATCTTTGAAACAATCGTCAAGAACAAATTACTAGAACATGTAGAAGAGTACAGTGCACTATTTGACAAACAGCATTGGTTCACAAAAGGCAAATCCTGTCCGACAAACCTCCTTGAGACAATGGAAGCAATTACTGCAGCTTTAGATCAGGGTCTGGGAGTGGATTGCATTTTCCTTGACTAGGCCAAAGCTTTTTGATTCATTACCTCACAAAAGGTTGATCAACAAGTTAAGAGCATACGGGTGTTCAGTCATGATTCAACTTTGGATACAAGACTTTCTTAGGGGAAGAGCTCAATCCGTGTCAGTGAGAAATGCTACCTTGTCTAATGCAGATGTGTTGAGCAGCGTGCCCCAGGGTTTAGTGTTGGGACCGCTTTTATTCATTCTATTTATTAACGACCTGCCAAGGCATATCAAATCGGATATTCAGATGTTTGCTGACGATACCAAAATTTTCACTCCAGTTAATACCAAGGATGATGCATCAAAGTTACAGCAAATCATTGAAGAGTGCCAGATGTCCCAAAACTGGCTGCTTAAGTTCATTGCAGGGAAATGTAAAAAATGCACTTGTGGAAAAAATAATCCAGAAGTTGATTACTACATGGAAGGAGTGAAATTAGATACATTGATCAGCAAAAAGATTTGGGAGTGTTTATCACCAACAACTGCAAATCAAATGGCCAATGTACTAAGGCAGCACAGAAAGCGATGTACAGTTTAAGAGTGATTCAAAGATGGTTCAAGTGTTTCAACAAGGATAGCTGTGCAGTACTTAACAAGACATACGTAAGACCTCACCTGGAAGATAGCATACAAGCCTGGAACCCATCATTAAAGAAAGATATTGCAACACTCGAGATTTGCAGGAGTGTAAATAGCAAAGTAAAGTAACTCACAATGAAGGCGGATTTTAAATTTTGTTCAATGATTCCTTGTCATCATGATTAAACATGATTAAAATAAGACAAACGTGCTTTGGAAAGGTTGTGACTGGATTTTTTTATTTTATTTTCATGTTTTTCCCCCAAATCAGGCAAGATTCATAGTAATAACTAGGGACATCCTTGAACTTCCTGCGAAGTGCACAAATACTATCCTATTTTGGGGTGTTTTTCTTCTGCAGCTGCAAGAGATGGAAGAGGAGGCCAAACCGGCCCCTGGAAGTTATCGTAGTCAGATGGTAGCCAAGGTCAGAAACTACAGGAGAGAACTGGACAAAATCACCAGGGACCTGGTAGGTCTTACAGGGGGGAAAAATAACAGTGACATAGGTAAGAAACTAGGGGAGAGAACTATAAAAAAATCACCAGGGACCTAGTAGGTCTTATACAGGGGAAATATACACAAGCAGTGACATAGGTTAGTACCTACAGGAGAGAACTGGACAAAATAACAGTGACATTGTTTTGACAATGACAAAGTTAACATTGGTGTTGCACATGTCACCCATTTCATGGTAGCGTGTCACTGTCATTCAACATTGACCATTTAAAGGTACAGTGACAGTTTGACAGTGCCAGTGTTGGTATCAACTTCATCAGTAATAGTGGTAATGTTGACCAGACACGTTACTGTCATTCAAAATTTCAGTTGGTGAGCAAACTGATGTAACACTGACCTGACAGAATGTGGCATGTGACATACGACAGTGACAAAATCTGCCTGTTACAACTTAAATTTTCTCTCTGATTTGCCTTTCAGAAAAGAGCCAGTGATGGAAGGGGTAACCGCAGTGAATTGTTCCACTCGCAAAGCAGCTTTGAAAACAAAGTCAATGTACGTGTATCTTATGTCTAAACTTACTTTATGCCATGACTGGCAAAAAAGGAATTTGCTAATGTTATTCACAACACAGAAGGTTTTTTCCCCCAAGCCCTCCATCTATCTAAAAGTAGACCCTCACCTCCCCAAACTTACAAGTTTGTAGGGGGAAGCAACAGAGAGCCAGCTTTGCAGCCATGTGCATCTCTTTATACCCAACAGGTTGCTCAGAGCAATCAGCGAGCCAGGCTTCTGCAGGGTCAGGAGACCCTAAACAGAACCAGCGACAGCCTGGCCAGGACCCATCAGATAGCCGCAGAGACAGATGAGATTGGAGTGGGAATCATCGACGAACTGGATGGCCAAAAGGAGCAGTTGTTAAATGCTAGGGACAAGGTAGGGTTAAGATTGCAGGCGGTTTTGTGTGAAACTTTCCGAAATCTTCCAAAGTCGGACGCATTCTTTGTCCTTTAACCTCTTTATAGACATTTGACCCTGTGTACAAAACAGTGGCTGGACTCTACCTTCCTCAATCCTGCAAAATCTCCAATATTTCTTGATGAATTTTGAAAGATATATGAGGGTTAAGCGAAGTATTTCAGTTCACTTGAAATTTCTCAACCCGGGTCAATCAGGGTAAGGTCACGAGTTAATTTGAAAGAACTTCAAAAACTTATTATGTTAAGCTTTACAATGACATTTGTGGTGGTTAAAGAGCAGAGGGCCAACATTTCTTTGTGGTTAAAGGAACCAGGAAATGAGTTCTTCTTGGAATTACTTTTTGTGTATCTCTGTACTCTTCTTCCGTGTATGAAGACTGACAGGGTTTTAGTAAGATTTATAGAAATATTTCAATGTCCTGGTTCCTTTAATAGTCAATGCGTTTAGGCCAAATCACTCTTCAGGCCGACATTTACTGGCTTAGAATCTTAAGTATGCGGCATACTGTGTATTAAAGACCGCCCTCATTGTGTCCATTGATAAAAAAAATTCCTTTCTTTTATTGCTGCGGTTTAGTCATTGTTCAGAGTCTTGTCTGACATGCATTGTCGGTCTTTGTTCGGATTAAGACAGTTTTAAATGCCACTTTGGAATGATTATGAATCAATATTTACATTCCATTTGCCACGAGAACTTCAGTTTTTTTCCCCTTACTTACCACAAGAGCTTACTCGGATCTTTGGGGTTAAGTCATATCCGCAATTTCATTTGTTTTTGCTGTGAAGGTTGACAAGAGAATCGAAAAGTTTTTGTCACTTATTGAGTGTTTTCTTATCCAGATATTTTATTTGGTCTCTACAGCTTGAGGATATGGACCACAGTTTAGGAAAAAGTAAAAGGATCCTTAACTCCATGGGCAGAAGGTTGGTGGCAGTTTTAAAGGTTTTTCCTCATTGATTGAGGATTAAACTTTTAGGAAGATAAAACTCTGACTGCTGCGTGTATTTTTGTGGGAAAGCAGTCCATGTCGATGGCCAGTTTTTGCCAAACATAGGTGTGCTCCTTTGATGACTTTGCATGATCTCGTCAGCATTGATCCTTGCAGAAGTTCAAGATTATGGCAATGTTTGGTTGGCCAGCTGACCATTCAAGTCAAAAACAGGTTCTTTCTGTACGTTAGGGCAAAACATACATCTCATTGACAAAGCCAAATTGAATATCTTTGTGTTTTTTGTGTTCCCATAGGATCATAACTAACAAGCTGATCTTGATGGCCGTTATCCTGGTAGAATTGGTCATTTTGGGCGTGGTGGTGTACCTGAAATTCTTTTCACCCAAAGAGCCAGCACCGCCAACAGCCAGACCTTTCACTCCCAAAACGTGACCAGTCTCTCCATCCAAAGACTAGCAGATGGAAATGCAGGATGCATCAATCTAGAATTACAGCACTCCAGTTCAGTGTAGTGCTGTAGTCAATAGTCAACAGACACTCATATGAAATCTCTCCAGAGACTTTTATTTGAAAAGTAAGTAACCTTCAGTATGCTTGTCAAGTTTCTGTGTCATTGTACCACATAGTAAAATTGATGGATATCAACGAAGTAAAGCTGTATAAAAAATTTACTGGGGTTATTGGACTTGACTGATTTGCACCACTATTCCTCAAAATTTAGTTAGGTACTGTGACATCTCTAAAATTTATCTTTTGAATTCAAACTGAACAATATGTACAATATTTTGTAAATATTTCAATCAAACTTCAAGCAAACTTTAACCAGAATTTGTAACCTAGAGTGGGCAATGGGAACATTTTGTGCAAAGGACAATGTACAAATTCCATGGAATCTTCTTCGGACACATGGAAACCCAGACCCATTTCATTCTTCAAATAAATTCCCTTCAAGAATTCGAAACATTACCTCATGTAGCAGAGAGACATTGGTCCATGCCAACACTCCATAAGAGCATTTAGTAAGAGCAAACTCTCAAATATGAGTCTGCTTCCAATTGGTCCTCTCTGATATGTCACATGGGGTTAGTTGAGTGGTAAACCACACATGAAAACAACGCTGTATGTTTATGTGCAGTTAATTGGTCTAGTCACCTTGCCATGAGGTGAAATGTCTACAACCAACAAGCAATGCAATTTCTCAGTATACAAGATTGGGCACTCAGTCTAACCTTGGAGGATTTAAATGAGACCGAAGCCCACTTTTTGTCAGTAATGTTATTGTAGTTTGTGCTAGAAAGAGCAAAGTGGCCCTTTGATGTGCCTCTCAGTTTAGTGTCCTGATGTACAAGGCAATATTCCATGGGTGAAATTGTTGAAGATTCCTATGATTTCCATTGTGCATGATTCATTTACGAGACTTCTCACTCAAAGTGGCTCTAGTGAGTTGTTGCCCATGTTAACCAGTTAACATAGGATTTTCTTACCCCAAAAAGCTTCTGGGGGCAGGTTTTTTTAACCACAAATTCTTCAACCTTGCAATTCATCATGTGCCCAACAAAAGGTCATAAGCACGCTCACACCCTTTAGCCGGGAAGCATGATTACAGCAGAAACAATTATCCTGGCAAAAGGGCGTAAGAACCACACTCTTTATTTAGTGAAATTGATAAAATTTACTGCAAAATCAACACAGGATGTACAAAAAGCAACCTTTGAACAACTTATTAAAGGACCTGGAAATTTGTTTGAACTCTTTGCAAAGAAATCTTTACATTTCATTAAAATTAAACAGTTGCAAACAGACGTCTCTTTTTGCCAGGAAAAGTTTTTTATGCAGTGATCTTGCTTCCGGGCAAAAGGGCGCTAGTGATTACATCCTTCCAGTCACACAGCGAATTGCACTTTGATCCAACCAAGCAAGACGCGTTAATATGTCAACAGTGGAAAGGTAAAAAGAATTTTTAAAGGAGTGCACACGTCCTCCGTGGAAGAAATAAGGAAAATTGTGGGTGTTAAAACATCATCTGGCATCAAGTGATTTAGTTTGTTTACCTAAATGTGGCTGTATATGTACATGTACTTCATTACAACAGGTGTAGATGATAACGGTAAGTAGATTTTGAATCATGAACTGTTTTGTATCTAAAAAATTCCATCTGAATCCATGTGACTGGATAGGATTATTGCATGTGCCTGTTTGTGAACTGTGGCTGTATGAGATGCATATAATGCAACCCAAATTCCAATGGCAATGTGATTGGCCATAATCCATGTCTTTTTTTCACGTGTATAAACAAGAGGTGTTTCTATTTAGGAAGGTGTTGCTGCTTGAGTCATTTGTTTCAATTGGACAAAACTATGATGAACACAAAGAGCTTCAGATTTTGTAACAGAGATTTTATTTACAATTGTTAACTATTTTACCTTTTTTTGCACCACATTCAATTGTCCATATAAAATAGCGTACTTCACAAATGGTACTGACCCTAAAAAATTAATTCATTCACAGAACTGACCATGTCTCACTGGGTTGGCTTTTTTTTCACTCCATAATGTACACGTCTTACACAGTAAATTTATTTTACACAATACTTGTACAACACACTTTTAGCCTAGGACACTCACAAACATACACGCATACATGGAGCAACCACGTCCATGTGCACTCAACACTTGAAAATGGAGTAGAACATCCATAACCTCACATTGTGAATAAGACAAAGTTCTTTAAAAACACCACTGAAATACAGTGTCACATCGCAACACATCTGCCTTTTTTTCAGTTAAAATATACTTGGGAAGTTCTTCCTATCAGTCACTCTACACTCCATGAACCAGTGACCCACCGAGGAGACAGAAAAATGTGCAGGGGGTATGTGGATACAAATGTGGCTGTACACTCGGCAGCCCATTAAGACACTGCACTTTTGTGCACATTCTGTGGAAAATTGTTAGCCTTGAAAATCCCATGCCACATGTGCACCTACATGTACATCCACACATACTGGCACTTTTGTTGAGGAGACTACACATGTCGAGTGATAATGATAAGTGCAAATTTAGGTCCCCACAACTTGATCTTTAATTTCCTCACAAAAGAAATTATCCCCTCAATGTGAGGCTGGCTAAGGTGCATACACCAGCTCTTCTGGGCAGTCACACAGCCACATTTGCTTCTCTTGCTCCAAACTCACACTGCACTAAAGATCTTTATCGCAACTCCCTGGTGGGTGGGGAGAAATCATAAAAATGGGGCAATTCAGACCTGCCGGGGCTGAATTTATCGTAAGTGGGGATTTCCCTGTTCCAAATTCCCAAACAACAATGACCTCGTGCAGTGTTGCATTAAGTACTGATGCTGACCAAATGAAACTGCATAAACAACTCTAACTTTAAGAGACTTTCTGATGAGTGTAGGGATGTATTAACAATGCACTAAGACTACAACGCTTGCATAGGGTACTTTTAAACACCGAATGAAAAAATACGGACATTAGGAATAGCAAAAACGAAACTGTTCATCAGTTGCTTGTTTAGTACAATAAATGTATGTGGTACATGAAGCCACAACCAATCTAACCAGATGTAACACCTGACCGAACATACTTTGTGATCCAGCCAAAGGCCAGTTCATACTGCAGCCCCCCCCCCGTAAGCCAAGCAAATTTGACGTCACCAAAAAATTGCAGCGAAATATCGATCCAGTTGAAATGTGTTTAACTTTGACGAATTCACTACACAATTGTTTGATCTGATGTCGCAAATACACATTCGTATATGTGCGAAGTGTGAACCAGCCTTAAGTTCCTCACCACTACATATATAGTAGCTACGCACCTTACACCACCCTGTGGGAAAAATAACACCGAAACTTCAATAATGGTACTGCCTTTGTATGTAGTAAATTTGAAGTGGCCTACTACCCCTTTCCATTCATTATGTAGAAGTCACAGAGAAAATTTAAGATTTATTCAGTGTTGCAACTGGTGTGGTGTTGTTCACGGAAGTTTGTCAAAACACAAAAAAACAACCTCACGTTAACTCATTCATGTACAGGTACATTTATGCTTATGGGACAATTTGATACAAATAAAAAAAATGGTCGTAATTTTTACTTCACAAAAGGAAATCTCACTGAATAATATTAATAGCATTTAATTATATATAACATATCGTACACAATAAGTACATGTATATACAATAGCACATTCAATAAAGCAGGTGAATAGTCACTCACATACACTAGTTAAATATAACATGAACAAATAGTGAATCCACCTGATCTGACCTCTATTCATACTTTATTTGGCTGTTTCAAAGAACACCAAACAAGACAGGAAAACCTGCTTGACAACATGACTAGAAAATTCTCTGCGTGAGGCCTTTCAAAATTTAAGAACAAACTTTCCAAAAAATAAGATTTCCATAAGAAGTAAAAAATATATTTTTGGTACTGACAACTTTTCACAAGCATCTGATTAGGTGCTGGTATGTCATGGGTGAACAGCAAGTGGACAACCAGGGAAAATAAAATCACGAAAGGATACTACGCAACTTGAAGACAATCAAGCATTTCTCTCAGATAATCCTGCTGTGCTAATCTACACTGTGCTAACTGCAGTCAGTCTTGCTCAGTTGTCAAGGATTGAGGGCACTTGTCAGACTAGACTGTTTCCTAAGAAACCTAAATAATGCACACAAGAGTTTCTGGCTTTGTTCATTCCAGCATGTTGCAGGGATACCAGATTTGCCATGACGAAATAAAACTAAACTCGTAGTTATTATATATAACGGGTTTGCCCTTTCCCAACGTATATTAATAAGCACTGCATGCTCAGTGCCCGTCCGAGAGCCTGTGAAAAACCCTCACAAGCCCACTCGGGCGGGACTCGAACCCACAACCTCCCGCCCACTAGTGCAGATGTCTTAACCACTCGACCACTGAGCTAGCCGGGGTCGGCTGGCCGGTCCGAGTCAAATGAGGCAGTGGGTACCGCGAACTATTTTCAAGATTTTTTTTTTTTTTTTCAGAATCGGCCAGTGCGATAACCATGACCAGATATTATGGAATGGGTTTCATTGTTTTCCTCTCTCATTTTTGCATGCATTAAACAGACCACAATTTTGTAGAGTTTCTCCTGTTCTGATGTATGGCTATATTTAAAATGTACATGGCTATGACTATCAATAGCTTACTCATACATGGGGAATGGACTCAAGATGCTTCCACAGGTACATGCAGCATTGTGGTACCGGCTATTGACTTACAGACAAGTATATTTGGGATGCAGCCAATTGCTCAGTTTGAGTCCAAGATGAATAAAGATGTTCCACATGGATTTAGGGAACAGGTATCTTCTATTGGTTTCCACCAAGAGAGATAGCGTTTAATGGCATATGTATCTATCTCAAAAGAACAATTGATGGCTTTGAACTTCAACTTTCTTGAGATGCCAGTAGGTCACAAAAATGATTATTACCATGAGATCTGTCAAACTAAGATGAGTGCAAACTTTCTGCGCCGTGAAGGAGTATGTATTTCAAATTTTTCAACAAAAGTTCGAAACGCACCAGCAGTGTAAGCACTTACCACAAAATGCTTACTTGCACCAAAAAAAATCCGTGCAGTGCAGCATGCCTTGTGTTCAGGATTGTCACTGTTGCAAATGAGTACACTACAGAATTGGATGTAGAGATCGAGACCCTGGTCTTTCAGACTGCAGGATAACTGCAGGGTATGGCTGGCCACACAATAAGAATGCACAACAGATGCCATATCTTCATGGCCAATTTCATTTGAAGCAAGATATGGGACGGAGAGAACCCCCCCCCACCTTTGTGTTGGTCATTGAATCTCAGGAATTCTTTACGGACTTCTAGGGGGGATGTGCTAGGTAAGGGAACGTTTCATAATTACTGAAGGTGGTATTTACTGCGGTACCGCTGTTTTTTTTGCGGTACCAGCATTAAGCCCTTTCGGGTAACTAGTGCGGTGCCGCTAAAAAAAACAGCGGTACCGCAGTAAATACCACCTTCAACAATTATGAAACGCTCCCTAACAATAGTCTAGAGTGTGTATAGGGATTGGACAGGTAAGGGGGGGGGTCCCTCCATCCCATATCTTGCCTGGTGTAGCCGATTTGTGACATGACTGAGGGCAAGTGATGTGGTCACAGTGTGGGCTGATCACCAACTTAGTATCTACAGTATGTCACCAGTGGTTGGATTGTTTCTTGGCAGTGTCCAACTTCAAAGATATTTACTTGGCTTGTTAGTGCGTACAGATTTCCTCTGTAACATTTTTAACTAACAGTTTGCAGTAACCCAGCCACTTGAAATTGGTCTAAATTATCAAGTCGTACCGAGTGAAATCAATTCTCAAAGTGAATTGCTACATTCAACTTCATTGATAAACACCAGAAACACTGCTCTCGTACCGTACATGGGTCCTGCAAGTATTTTACCAAAAAATTAAAAATGTTTTGTGTATTTTCTAATGTTCAAGGCTAAGTCAGCAGAAAAATCTGTTGTACATCATAACACAACTCACACAATACTAAAATCTTTTTTTTAAATAACGAGGTCGAGAAATTGTAGTAATGGCAGTAACAATGTAATTTTGTGCATTTCCAATTCCAGATGCATTTGGTATGATTCTAAAAACCGAACTAAATGCCTTGAAAATACAACAAATTCATTTATCTCAACTGAAGTTTTTCAAACTCCCCTCTGTTGCTAGTACTTCTTAAAATTTGCCTCATTACAAAAAGGAAATACATGTACAATTTGTACAAAAACTGTCAAATTTTCCGCTGTCTATGACAACACAGCAGGACCTGTTTGGGCTTCAATTCAAGTGGGATGAAGACGACGGTTCAGGAGACACACGTACACATATGGAAGTCATTTGAACAGCATGCACAAAGAAAATGGCCAGATGTTGAACTGTAAAGTTTAAATACAGTGTCTGAACTGTTAAATGACTTGACGGCCTCAGAAAGTCTCTACTGGGTTACAGTGCCTTCAAATTTCTGAAAAGAAGTGTTATTTGAAACAGAAGTCCTTTCATTCATCTGAAGTGGTCATAATGTTCCACTTAATCGAGAGACGAAGTTACAACGGGAAATGGTACTTCTTCCAATAGAATGTGCATTCATGTAGCATTTTGCATCAAATTGCTGTATGAAGTTAGCCCTAGGCCCCCTCCCCCCCCGGCAAACTGACTGGCTCTTACTCCAGGCAAATGTGATGTCAAAGTTTGGAACCGCTGAAAGTTGTTCATTTTTTTGAATTCATAAATTCACCATGACCTCACCGATACTGGTATTCATACTTGGCCTGGTGTAAATAATTGCGCCAGTAACCCATGCATGCATGATCTCAACAATGTGTATGTTTGTCTCATTCCTAGTGGCAATGTGGGCAGATTCTGAAGACAAGCGGAGCAGCATTGGGCAGTGGGTACATCAATCAAGGTCTTCTGGGAAACTTGCATACAATGGAGGGGCACGGAACATTTCCTTCCAACCAAATGCTCCTTCCACATGAACAGTTCCATCTTCTTCCTGACCAAACTGGTTCCCGCTACCTCCTTGGTTGCGAGACTCCAATGTAAACATGCCATGACAGTGAAATGGAACCAGTGACAACATTTCCAGATGTTGGAAAGTGTATTGTTGATTACTCCAAGCAAGTGGCAATTTTTCAGATGGGAGCTTTTACCAACCTCAATCTTTGGCTACAACTGGGCTGTTCCATTCCAGTTTGGTCACTGTTGATGAACGAAGTATACACAATATTCCATGACAGTGAAGCAAGTCCTCGTCCCAGACAGGCAAACAGGAGAGTTTTCTGTGACTCCCAAATCACTTTCCGGGGTTGGACATATCAGTGTATTCATGCTGTGATCAACTGTAATGCAAGTTGCTCCAGTGACAAGCACAGATATTCCCCGACTACTGCCAAGGGCTTGGGAAAAAAAAAGGGGGAGGGGTGGCTTGATCCAAGACAGCTCCTGAAGCCGTTGGCAGGACACAGGGATGGTTAGCTGAGGTGATAACATCTCTAGTGTCTCAATCAACTATGACAATCATCAGACTACACAAATATACAGCAGAATTAAATAATTTGATTTATATCTAAAATAAAAATCAGTTGTACTGTCAATGGAAGGGTTCAATCAGACTTGTTCTGTGGGTACTGACTGGCCCTTTGATGGAGAGTTCTGTTGCTCGTGGGGTCGGAGCGGAACGGGTGGTGCACTGAGAGATACTCTGTTTGGTACTGACGGTTGGTATTGCTGTGTCTGTACAAACGGCTGGTTTGCTAGTGTTTGCTGATTTGGCAGCTGCTGTTGATGCTGCTGTTGCTGCTGATGGTGATGGTGATGGTGGTGGGATTGTTGCTGATAAAAGTGCTGCTGCTGCTGCTGTTGATACACCTTCTGCTGTTGTTGCTGCTGCTGCTGTTGCATTAGATTTGGTGTGGAAGAAGTCAAGTTTGCAAATTGTGTGTGAAACGACTGGTTGAGTGTGGGGGTCAATGGCCTCTTGACTCTGGGCACCCAGGGCGATTCAAACTGGGTGGAGTAATGCATCGGTGTGGGTATCTCCCGGCGGTGCGAGAATGCATTCGGGGACGAGGGTGGAGCACTGACCGAGGCTGTACGGCGTATGTGCTGATCGTGCGGGTAGGACGGACTCTTGCGGTGGATCCTCGGTGGCACGGCAGGAATGCTCCCATTCATGTCGAACTGGGTCGTCTGATGGGAGGCAGCAGCAGAGGGGGAGGAGGGGTAGGGCAGGGTTGCAGCACCCCCGGCGTAGTGAGCTGCAGGCGCGCTGTGCTGGGACACGTAGCCCGGTGGGTGGTGGGCGGAGTTCCGGCGTGGGGGGAGTGGTGGCTTGGCCTGAGGCAGCTTTGTCTTGGGCGGGAGGAGAGGCGGCTCAGTGGCATCAGGAGGCCTGGTGGGCGAGTTGCTGTCTATCCTCATCCTGGGCGGGACTGGCGGGGGAAGTTCCTCATCATCCTTTGGGGTTGCTGCAGAGGCAGGAAAAAAAAAGGTTAAAAAAAAACAGGTTAGTGTCAAAAGGTGGACAACTGCATCAAGACTTCATTGATGGGGGCTATATATCTGTAATTTCTTAACTAATTAAACTGAATCGTGTGCTGGCCCCCCCAGTTTAAGTCGGCAGTCGGTAGGCTTCACAGGGACAACCTTTCATAGAATATAATGGCCTTCATTCCAAAAGATATTTGATTGAAAGCCAAGTTTATACCTATGTCAACTTGTGCAAACACGCTGTTGTCAAAGTCAGAAGTACTGGAGGGTGTGGTTGGGGTGTGTGGGGAGGGTGGAGTCCCACTCACTGCCTTGATGGGGGTGGTGGAGTCCTCATCTGTCGTTCTCTGTGAGAACATACAAATTGAAAACAGAAATGGGTGGAGTTCCTCCGTCGATATGAAGGAAGTGTGTTGAGTGACCAGTACTGTAAATTTACAAGACTTGGAGTGGTTTTTGTCAATTTGCATCCCAGCAACACAATCATGTTAGGTGGTGTGCTATTTTCACACTGCTAGTGCCTCACACAGGCTCAGGCAGCCACTTAAAGTGAGAAGTACAGGATGGAAAAACTCCTAAATGGGTCAAAAATATCGATGACCTCGGTTCTTGGTGACATGTTGGCCATGGGTTCAACATTGTGTGAAAATTCTATCCATGTCTGTTGTCATTCGTTCATCCTGTTCCTTGTGACTGGTCTTGTGACGTGTGACTGGTCTTATGACGGTCTTGTGACTGGTTTGGGTCTGTTCTTGTGACTGGTGTTGTCACTGTCTTGACTGCAACATCACTAGGTATCAAAATATCCTTTCTCATTCACGCACATTCAAACTCAAGCCATATGCGTTAATGCCTCACACACAAATAGTCAGATTATTTTGAGGTGCTCTGAGCTTTTGCTTTTTTCAGTTTAGAAGTACAAGGCAAGAACTGTCAAGGAGACAGAAACCAAGACTTCCTTGGCTGGTTACCGTTGATAGCAGTGGTGGCTTCAGTTCCATACTTCCATACCCTACCTTCGTCAGGGTACCGACTACAGACGGGTGGCGTACTGCCGAGGGCTTGATCCCTGGAGACTTCAAGGGGTATTCAAACTTTCGGGGCTGAGAGGAAAAATCAGAAGCAGAATACGAGGAGGTGATCAGGAGAGGCATAGGACAAGAGTGAACGGAAGGACTGATTAGACTTGACGATACATTTTCAACATTGCTGACTGAATTTGTTTGATAACACAATGGTTGCAGTTTTTTTCAAAGATGGACTTTCCAAATGCTAACCCACAGTGGTCATTTACCAGTGATTTAGTGCCAAATTTCTTGCCACATCATTGCTTTCCTACTGCCACTTGAGGGCGCCACACACAACCTCAACCGCCATGGACTAATTCTGGCCTCTTTGTGTGTGCAAGCGTGGGGACGTCGAGTGGCACTTCATACAAAATTTGCCAGGATGTGTTTTGCCAGGACATCCTCCGGAATCGAGAGACAGGAAACCCCCATGTTGCCAGTCATCTGAAGTGAAGTGGTTAAAAATCCCACCCAATACAAGGCAGAGGATGCTCATGTGTTTCACTGCAGTCTTGTTTGTTCTTTGATGGACAGAAGAAGTTGTTGCCTCAGATAAAGCTCTGACATGCAATTACAAGCGTAAACTACTTACATTCTAACTATATCCCACAGAAAAAGCATGAACTCTCTCAATTTGAGCGTACATGTTTCCCTTTTTGCCAGTTAACTTTTTTAAGATATCTCAATCCACTGTCTCTATTTCTGATGTGTCCTTACCATCTTCATTGGTAGGCGTGCGAGGCCCAGTGGCATATTGAGGGGCGGGGGACCAGTTGCCCCCCTGCCTTAAGACACACTGCCATTCTTGTTTGTTTTGGGGGTTTGTTTTTTTATGAATTGAAAGCACCAACATTTTAGAAATACCATTATCACCTTTCTTTTGAGTGGGGGTGGTACTAAGGATTCTTTTATGTATGAAAGAATTTCTAGTAAGACAATCTTTTTTTTGGAAAAACTTCCCATTTTACCCCCCTAGACACAAGACCACTAATCAGCTCATGAGATCTCATTTCTCTGATAATACTTACAAATTTGGGTGGCTGCTTGCAATTTCTTGGCTCAATCTCCAGTGATTTCTCGTACAAATAATCGTTGAACTCCTTCTCTGACTTGTCCTCCATGGGGTCCAAGTTTTCAAAGAATCTCTGAAATTCAAAACCACATGCAGACATGCTTTCAAATCCATCTTGATCTCACAAAGTTACCATCAAGTTGGAGAGAGGCAATTTGGGCTAGAGCTTTGGGCTAGAGCTTTGGGCTAGAGCTTTGGGCTGCAGCTTTGGGCTGCAGCTTTGGGCTACAGCTTTGGGCTACAGCTTTGACCTGCTGTGCTGTGAACCTAACAGCCACGGACAGAAAATAATGCCTAGTTCAGTTCTAAAGATTTTGTTGCAACCTCAATCACAACTGTTTCCAAGGCGCAGCACTGAAACCATTGGAATCAAAGTAGAACAGCTGCTTTTGTCAAATGGATAGCAGTACTCAGTGGTGTATGCACCTGTCAGACACAGTCTCTGACAAAGTGGATACAGACAGGGTCAGTGTGAAAAACATATCCCCTGCCCATCAAGAGCTATGCAACTAACAATAAATATAACCAGCACTCTGGTCCAGTTTTAGACGGACTTTGTGCTTACATTGGACATAAGCACTCCTCGGCCAAGTCTGTAGATGATTTCAATTGCCTTGCTAAGGAATTTAGAGGGGACTGAATATGTTTTGATACTGAGGAAACCAATCCTAAGATGGGTTCCAAGCTAAGACGAGATGCTATTCCTAAGACAACTCTTGGTATTCTGTGAAATCGGCCCATGCTCTCTGGGACAATCCGTTACCTTGATTGCCTTGTCACTCTGCAGACAGTAAGGCTGGTTCTGATACTGCTGGATCTCGCCCGTGATCTCTGCCACTTTCCTTCTCTTGCTAAAGTTGATTAAGCCTTCCACCTCCGAGTGCAGGAAGTCTGGGTTGCCCTGCTCCGTGAAGAGGATGTTGGAGAGGTACATGCCTACAGCGAGCGGGAGAAATGCGGGGAGCACCGAGGGAGGGATTAGGAGATGCCTCTCAGCTTACACAGACAAGCAAACAGACCATATCAGTGTTGCAGTCAAGAACTACGAAAGTGGTTGTCAATAGTCATCAAGTGCTTTCACTGAATAGTTCTGGTTTTTGTGAAATTTGGGTTGGTACATCGTGGACAACTCATATGCAACAACTTTTTTCACCAAACACGAAGTTTCATTAGCTGTCAGAAATTTTTACACTGATTGCTTCCAAAACTCTCCTTTTTCTCCTTTTTTTAAAAAGAGCCAGAGACGTTTCAGAACATCATAGAATGACCTCAAATTTCGGCTCTTCCCCTGGTCTAAGATCATTTCATTTGAACTATACAAGATATTTTTTCGATACTGCACCGGTAGGCTGCACTCGGTGCATCCAGGAACCTAGTGTGCCTGGTACCCACCTACAAATGGTACACATGGTGGATTGATAGAGCGCAACTTCTCTGTGTACTTCTTGTAGTGGTCTCCCGAAAGCTCCTTGGCCTCTTCCAGAGCCTGCTTCTTCCTGAGGGACAAATCCTGGAAAATCAGAAAAGATCAAATTCATCATTCCGAAGCTGCAGGAAAATCACATGCAATAATGGACAAGTCCTCAAGCGTCCCTATTTAACAGAAAAAAGTTCTCTTCTGCGAAATTACTACACTGCTTTTCCCTCCTACATCGCTGCTGTGTGACAAAACCCGTCAGGCACAAGAGGCAAAAAGACAACCCCCCCTTCCACCCCTAATGCTTCCCTCCTGCCCATCTATAAGGGGATTACTCACCCTGAATGTGTGCTCTAGTCTGTATATAGCAGAGGAATTCAAGGCACTGACAACTTCCATCACGCCATTGAAGTTATTCAACTCTTGAAACACCTGCAAATCCACAAGAAAAGGTTATGCTGCAACTACAGGCTCATATCAACTCTTGGAGAAAAAAAAACTGGAAAAAGTCTCAGACATGACATTTAAAATGCTAAACTTGTGGCGCCAAGTTGGCTTGTTTGCAGCCGTAATTTTTATTGGCGCAAGCTACATTTCCTATAAAAGCCTAAAAATGAGCGATAAAGAGTTCGGCTAAAACTGCTACTCACCATCATTATTTCTATAATTCTAGACAGAACAGCAACTCGCTCCTCAAAGTTCTCAGCCTCTACGATGCATTTCTCCAACCACAGAATAAGCTTTATTTGGATGAAAATACGCACAAAGAGGAATGACCTCATCAGCCAAGTCTTCCAACAAATTTCAAATGCTGTTTTTGCGACTATAAGCAAAACAGGCAAAGTCACCTTCTCTATTTCACATGCTGTTATATCAATCCAGTTACAATTTTCATATTAACTTTGATTACAATCTCACTGATTTCCACTAACCCACACTGGTCACAACCAATAACTTGCAAGAAGCCATGGATGGCTCCTGTTTTTTGGATGGCAGACAAGTGCAAACTTTGAATCCTGGCAGTACTCAAGTAAGATATTTCACACAGCTGTGCTTACAATGTAGGATGAACATTGGCTTTGGGCAGTGATTGAATTTAAGTACCTTGCTTGATTCAACATCACGAAAAAATCATATCCTTACTTGAAATATCACATAAACACTGCAAAATATGATTCATGAGACATTTTTGATCAAGTTCCCCAATTTTTGGAAAACCATTTTTCGTACAGTACATATTTGTCAGGGATAACAGTAGAAGCATAATCATCACGGAGCAAAACACCACATCAATGAGTGTATCATGACCAATGATTAGGAGATTGCATTAAGCAATGAAGTGTTACCATGTTGGAGTGGTGGATCATCTTCAGTAAGTTGGGTGAGGTGATGCTCTTATCTTTCTTGGTCCAGACGGTGCCGACCAGCTCAGAGGGTTGGACTGCCCGGAATAAATCAGCCTCCAGTGTTGTCAACTGCCGAGCGATCTCAATGGGATGTAACTAAGAGGTAAGACGGGAACATGTTAACGCCCTTGAAGACGCTGAGTATGAATAAGCAACAACAACGGGGAGTGAAACTGTTCCCCTTGCTTGTACTACAAAATGTGTAAACAATCATATCCCTACCCCCCCCCAACTCCCCTGGCGCCCCCCAAGTCTTAGACGCTGGGAGTAACATTCCTTTCTGCTGAAATGAAGATCATTGTCTCTAGCCCCAGAAATCTTCGACTCCGCAATGTCAATGTCATTTTTCACACAGCCACGGGGGTCAGGGTTATGAATTGAGACTCAAGTCCTCATCTCAAAGCCATGAGAGTCGTTATCTGAGTTTTTGTTCTTTGTGAGGGTTTTGGTAGTATCTTGTCTTTTGAAGTCAGTAGTTTCAGGAGTAAACAAAATCACGCCTGGAACAAGTGAGTTGTGGAGTAATACCATCGGTAAGTGGTTAAACATGACAGGGTCTACCTAATAAATGAGTTTGTATATTTACCGTCATGAGGTCAAATTCAGAAGGTGTTCTAGTGATGTGCCATTCCAATAAAGGTGGATCCCTCTCAAATGTGATCTCACGAATGCACTGGTCAGCCTCTTGCTGTAAAGAGACCGAGCAGAGAACAAACTCAGTAATGAGTAATGGTTGACAAATCCATGAGAAAATGCTGCATCAAAGTCCTGACAAAATATAACGTACTAATCAGCGCTTTCAGGGACAACGGTTTAATCATATGCTACCGGGGAGCCTGGTTTCGGGCACATAGGCTGTATGCATGAAACTGGGAGCCTGAAACCAGACAAAAGAGCTGGGCCTTGTAACAAAAGACCATACTCGGAAAAAAAGACCAAGCTGCTGGGAATTGCAAACATTTTTTTCAGTTGTCAACAGCAGAGGAAATCCATCCTTATACTGAGAGATTATACCACTGTTTGTGGCATTCAGCACGACCGTATTACCGCTGGGAACAAAAGCGCTCCAGCTAGGAGTGATACAATAACGCTGCACGCTAATCTGGCCCCTATTGAAAAGAAGCCAGTAGGGCACTGTGCCAGTTTCGGGAAGAAAAGAAAGTTACACAACACAACATAATCTGGGTTCTTTTTACATGACAGCAGGCCTGGCTGAAATACTTGGGCGTCAATAGAGCAGTCACTAGACAGTTATTCGTGTGGGTGTAAACATCCAGTAAATGAAGCTATGGTTTTTGAAGAATTTGAAAACGGAAAATTTTGAAAATCTCCCAGTTGTACATCATGCAACTTCGAATTCCACCCGGCAGCAAGTGGTTAATGTTCTCACAATGTCCAATTCAGACATTTTATGAGAACAAATGTATTTCAAAGGTGTGTTATCTTGGACCTCCAATGTAATCTTGCAAGAAGCGGTGGCCTCACAAAACCAAGCAAATATTGCGACGTTCCTTGAAGACCCAATGGCTATATATTTTGCAATATTTAATAGCAATTCAATGACACGCATCTGCGAAATTAAAGGTTGGAATCAAATGGGTTAAGCTCTATGGGGCCAGGTCAAATTAGGATTGATTTGGATTGAGTTGATGTGAACACTAAACAGGGGTAAACTCAGGCTGAGACAAGTTATGTTGGGTTGACCTGGGTTAGGTTGGGTTTGGTTTGTGTTGGACTGTGTTGAGGGGTATAGTCAAGCTGGTACTGACTGGATTAAGTTGGGTTGGCCTAGGTTAAGGTTGGGATGTATTGGGTTGGGCTTGTGTTATGCGGTGCTGAGTTGGTGCTGTCGGGCTGTTGATTTGGCCTGAGTTTCGTTTAAGGTGATGTTACAACCGTATGGGTGGAAGCGTAGAAACAGGCATTTCACAATACAGTGCCTAACCAAAAGGTTTCAAGGTTACAGTCCACAAAAATATGGAACGTTAAGTTTCCTGTGTACAACACAGCCAGCTAACAGATTTTGTCAACTGTTTCCCACGATGCACTACAGAAAAGGCCTCTCGGAGGCAACCCCTTGGTGGTGTCCTATATTGAGAATCACCCGTATTAAGTGGGACAGGTCAAATTGGGTTAAGTTTGATTGAGCTGAAGTTGGGTTTGGCCCTGAATCGATTGAGTTCCAGTTTGTTGACAATTTGCACACTGACAGATTGACAAAATGTGGCGAATTCATCAATCACCTACCCTCCTCTGAACAATCTTCTTGATTGACTCCGCCCACTTCCTCATGGCCTTGCCTTTGACTTGGTCAATGAACTCCATCAGTCTCTTTGGAAGGTCCGGGTTGCGTTCAAAGTCATAGAAGTGACGGTCAACCCAGTGTCTCAACACATTCAGGACCCTTGACGAGTAAATGAGAGAAACCCAATGTGAACTTCGAACGTGTAACAGAGAGAGTCTTGGCATCAACAGACAGTTCAGTTAAGGCATTGCCTCACCAGCAATAGAGTGTACAATAACAAAGGGAATGCTTGTGTCAGAGTTCATTTGAATGGCTTGTGACTTAGCTTTCTGTGTGATTTGTGATGGGCTCGTAGGAATATGTGATGGGCTCGCAGGGATTTGTGATGGACTTGCAGGGACTTGTGATGGGCTCGCAAAACCCTAGTACATTTGTGTGGCAAATGTCTGTTTCATTTGATGGCATGCCTGTGAAGATATATTTATTACTAAGGGAATAAATATGTGTTTGTTAATGTTTGAGCCCGGCCCAGCACACATTTATTTCCATTCATAAATACCTTTTTAGTCTGAGCGTCAAAGAAGTCAATATGTGATGGATTTCCAGTGATTTGTTCTAGAATTTTATTGTCATTTTCCCAAACACCACCTTCCATTTTACAGAATATTCCTCATGCACATTGTCCAGTTGATGCGTGCATGGCGAGCCGCGTGTAAAGACTCTTGACCAATCAGAATCGATTAAACTGTCTTGCATCAGGTGCCAACACTTGATTAACGCAGCAAGCAATATCAAATGTTAATACACAATCAAGTTGCACGTTGTTAAATGGGGAGACTGAGGTATGTAGAATGCAACATATAGTAACTGTGTTTTCATGTAATAAACTTACTACTGTTCTATTATTCTACCCGTATACATTGATACATATAATACCTTATAAGACCACTATTAATATTCATAGATGACTCTCCAACACCAACCCAATAATTTCCAGAGTGATTACACGATTCAACTTTTTTTTACCTTACAATTATCGTTGTTTGATATTCTGGCTACTCACTATCACATATATGCTGCTGAAAAAACTAAACTCAACAATTTCCCTAAAATGAAAACAAATGGATAAAGTCTGACGGTACCTTAGCTGTATAGGCTGTGCATATTCCTTGCGGAACCTTTTCAGGTCCTCCCTGACCACTATGGCTCCTCTGTCCAACGCAATGCGGTCCTCCTCTGTGGGCTCGGGGTCTTGGATCTCAAATGTGATGGCAAGGGAGTCAAGGCAAATCTGCTCAAGCAATGCTGATGTTAGTCTCCATATCCAGGAGTATTTGTACCTTGACACAGAGTACTTTAAGCTGCCTCGGGCTTGGCTTGTGGCCAATACTTTTAGACCCAGTAAAAAGCAATCATTTACAGCATAATACTTCTACCTCCTTTGTTTTGAATAAAAATTCTGGAAACAAAGGGCATCACATGTAAAATGTGTCTACTTGCTCAAGCAGGATAATCCAATAATTTTAGGTGAGAACAAAGCATTAACATGGAAAAGGTGTCAGTGAACACCTGAGGCAAAATTAGCCTGCTGGCCATTTTGAAATAAAAGCATGACTTTTCCTTTCTTGGAAACAAACTCCATAAAATTCTTAAATATTTAAATTGATTAATGCACACTGTTGCATACTACTGGCTTCTGACCAATTCAGCAATGGTATCTTCACCTGACCACTACAGTTCAAAGGATATCTATCAATAAGAAGTGAGAGTAGTTCCTGCGGTTTGCAGAATGACCGGTAGGTGGTCAAGAAGGTCCGGACGAATGAAGGGTCAGCGTACTTATGATATGTCAGCCTCTCTATCAGCTTCAGCAGGGTACCGCCTTTAATCAGTGGTACCCCTGCTCGAGACTTCTGACCTTCCTCAAAGACAATGTTGTTTGGGGAGTCCTCCTCAGCAAATCTGAGTTTGTCACAGGCACACAAAAAGGTTTTCAAATTGAACGTCGGCCAAATTAGCTTCAGACAAATTATTTCAAATGGAAAAAAGTACTGTCTTAGCTAGGAAGGTATAGTTTACGTCAAAACTGCAAGCAAGACTTTACAATCAAAGTCTACTCGGTAGACTTCCCATAAACATGTTTGCATTAACATTACTTTCAACCCCCACCCCCCAAAAAAACACTTAAAAAAACATCTTGTTTTAATGTTTTGCATTTCAGAGGTGTTCATGTAGGTAACATAAGAGACCTACTTGTATTCTGCTGTCGTGGGCAGTCGGAGGGGCTGCTGTGCCTCTTCCTCGGCCAATATCGTGTCTAACATCCTCTCAATAGTACTGTCAAAAGAAAAGGACAAAATATATACTTCAAACTGGAGGGTACATTACCACTGAAGTATCAAAATATTCACAAATTACATACAAAACAGATAGGTAATGGTTGGAGTTGTAACCAGCTCCATGATGGGTGGGACATCTAACTCGTGTCTTCTGCTCATGGATGCTCTCTCTTATCATGTTGAATACAGACTTTCCTTTGGTAACTCAAGAGAGGTTAAGAGAACAGTCTATCAATAATAGTGACAGACAAGTTGAACCTGATCAGCCTTACAATACGAAGTCCACAAATATTGAATTCTTGCTGTAACAGCATACCTCAAAGACATTAAGTGCCACAATTCCACTATCAGAAACAAGGTTTTTCTCTCCCATCTTCTGAAACAGAGAGAAAATAAAGAGCTCTCGCTCGTGTTGAAAAATGAGAATCCTCACCTTCTTAAACACAATGTGGTGAGTGCCTCCATCCAAGTCGTCTTCTCATCCCGATTTTTGGCAAAGAAGATTATTGGCGGGTGCTGCTCTTTTAACTTAATCTCAAATCCATGCTTAAAATCTGACAAAAGAAATGAACAATAATACAGTCAAAACACACATGAACAGCAACAAAGCTTCAGCAGACACTGTGTGATAACTACATGTACAAACACAACCAGGAACATCGTATGAGAATCAGCAATCATATTCAAAATCAATTATCAGAAGCAGTAACGGCACCAACATAAATAAATAAAGATAAATAATAATAATCTTATATAGCGCCAAATCCATTAACTAAATAGAAATCCTGAAACTAAATAATTAACAAAATAATCTGATCCAAGTAAAATTTCTTAAAAACATTTTGTTACAGAGAGTTACATCAAAACCAAAGCCAAAACCAAGGTAGTTTAAACTTTGGACATATCATTCAATGGCATATAAAAAGATTAACTATAAGAACCAGCATTTAGAAATCATAAGGACTAAAAAACACTCAACATGTCAATCACTAGCAGCAGTATGGCAATCGCTAGCAGCAGCATGGCAATCACTAGCTGCGGCAGGGCAAACAGCTAGCAGCAGCATGGCAATCACTAGCAGCAGCATGGCAATCACTAGCAGCAGCATGGCAATCACTAGCAGCAGCATGGCAATCACTAGCAGCAGCAGGGCAATCACTAGCAGCAGCATGGCAATCACTAGCAGCAGCATGGCAATCACTAGCAGCAGCATGGCAATCACTAGCAGCAGCATGGCAATCACTAGCAGCAGCATGGCAATCACTAGCAGCAGCATGGCAACAAACAGTCTAAGAGAAACAATGAGGTAACACTAAACCAGTTTTCTTACCATCTGTATCTTCCCTGTCCACTAGACTAATCTTCCGCAGTGCATAGCGTTCCTTAAATCGGTACTCTGGCGAGCTGCTGGTAACTGACTTACGAGCATTCTGCTTGCAGCAGACTATCATCAAGTCAAACAGGAAGATATGCCTCTCCGTGTTTGCCTGCAAGAAGAAACAAAAAGTAGTCAATGACATACTTATAACCTCAAGACCACATTACAGAATGATGCAGCATGCAAGTGTTTGGTTCCAGTATTCTGGGGCCTTGCTATTGAGTAACGTTTTGCAGTGATCCTGGGAAGACAAGTTAGTAAATCTTTTCTAGCACTCTACAAAACTCTTCACACGTCCTTGAAACACCTTCGTGACACCATTCTTCATTCTGTGCGTAACTCCACCAAAGCATGTACTCTTTTTCAAAACGACTGATTCTGGTGTTGTAATAGCTGAATACACGAACCTGGTCTGACAACATGCACTTTGTTGTCAAGCAATAAGAACTGTAATGTTTATAGGATGACCTCTTAGCAGAAGAGTAGATGGCACAATGTAGTTAACTTATTACAGTCAGCAATGGGCTCACTGTCTGCGCATACTGGATAACGTGCGAATGGTATACAGCATTCACAACTGATTTTCGACAGAATGTGCACAAAAGAATAGCCCCCATTACTGAGAGAGAAACACACTGCACAATGGTCAACAACTGTAAGAGATATTACTCATAGTTCTACTGCAAACCTATTGCAGTACTTACCGATAATTTGCTACCTTCATCATAAAAAACTTCAAATCTCAACTAATACCAGGCTACCTCAGCATCACCTACGTCTGCTTCTGTTACGTCAAAATTGCGGGTATGCCTTGAGGTCATTAATGGTTGTCCAAGGTCCATACTTGCAAAACACAAAAACAGTTGAGCTGCATGTACCTGTCCACAATGAGTTACCCTCCCAAAAAGCCCCAGCCATACCTTTTTGTTCTTGCCAGCATGGACTTTGCCAAGGTTTCCTTCGATGATGAACTCGTTACACAACTGATTGATGTCTTTGCCTTCCCAGCCCTCAATGTTCTTCTGGATTTCATTCATCTTCTGAATGCTGAGCTGCCGTGAGGCAACCCGTCGGTGGAATCGCAACGTCTCACTATATTTGAAGAAAGTAAAAGTGTGCAACCTGCATTAATGCTGCGCTGTCACAACCTGAAGATAAATCCAAATGTGCACAGCAAAAACACGTACCTTGGGGCATTTTGCCTTTTCCTTCAAAGACAACTAAAAAGGTCAAATCTAAAATTGAAGAGAACCTTCCCTTCTGTGTGTACATACCCTGCTTTCCGTTTAGGTAAATTTCCTATTGTGCATATTTTCTCCAGGTCCGTCTGAAGTGTCTTCAGGGCACCAGATGCCTATATTTAACCACAGAGTAACAAAATGTCAGTTGTTCAAACATGCATGTATCCAATGAAAAGGCTTCCAACCAGTGAGGCACTGAAGTACACCGCTGTAGTACTTGCACTCACATGTACTCACACTGATGGCAATACACTTGACTACAACTGGTATTAAGAGACCTACATGTACTGATGACTTCATGCTTTGCTTGCAAGTACACTTTCCAATGGGGCTTTGAAGCTGGTGTCCCCCCCCTGCCCATAGGAAAGGGTACATGTAAACAAAACATGATGTAAGTTCAAAGGCCTATGGTACTTCTTGCAGTGCAGTACATTTGTCTGTACCCAGATTCATAATTGACATACGGTTGAACAATATCATTATTGGGGTTGGCAAACAGCTCAACTTCCCGAGGTGTGTACATGTACGATGGCAGACGAATCAGCACCAGATACCAAAAGGAGACTGACTTGACCATCTACTCAACGGACTACCTCCAGGGACCGAATATGACGCTGAATACCGGTGATTTACAATAATACGACATCCACTACCATTTCTGACATAGAGCAATGCTAAAAAAAGTAAGCTGCTTTCTTCTGAACTATTGTGAACAACATGACAGCAACCTGTATGGCCCTCTTCCGTAACCTAATCTTTGTAGCGGTGAGGCAAAATGTAGGATTAACCACTATGTACACCTAAATTATGTAAAAGACGGCATGCATGTAAATGTACCTTTAAGGGCGAACAGACTACCTGACCCACCTGTGGGATAAAATTTGATCAAACAGCCATCTTATGAGTCACTAATGATTACAAAAGAACCGATACAAATATGTTGAAACTGAAACCAAAGGGAAAGAAATGTGAAAATGCCTCAGGCACCCAAACACATAATGGTATTCAGCTAAACCAAAACCAATTAAACCTGGCCTGCGTTACTAAACAAGAGAAAAAAAAATACAGTCAATTAAAATTCACGTGATGGGCTAGCTGCTATGATGATATGCTAAGAATAGATGGTTGTCACATAAGTATGCACTTTGCAAAAAATTTTGACAACTTACAACTGTGAAGGGGTTACTGCAGGCAGGTAAGAATAAATGACATTTGTGAATTTACTGGTAGTGACCATTTTTCTCTTCATTCCATATTGAATAGCAAATATGGTATTAACCTATGACAATGGCAACAAATCTGTTGAGAGGAGACAACCAAAGACATTTCAGGAGGAGATGTGAGAGGAACAAAGTCCAAGAGACTCTAGGCAACTTAGAAAGAATGGCTACTACTGATATCACATCAGGCCATTGAGGATGGATTCCCCCAGTTCAACTTGACCCCTGGTCCCGCTAATAGAGTGAGCAGGTACATGTACATTATCGGTTCTGATCTTACACCAGGCCCCACTGGAAAACACAGCGAAGCCTAAATAGAGCATGAACAGGGGTAGGCACTGCCTGTCATCTGTGAACACTGAAGAATCACAACACGGCCCAGAGGGCAGAGTTAAAATACCGTACCAAATCTGAGAATATGAGGCCTTAGTGGTCATCAATGCTACTAGCTCTTGCCATCCAAAGTGGAGCACTCGCTGTTTCACTCATGGGCGTGCTTTTTATTCCACAAAGACACCATTACCAACACCAATAAAACATAGAAAAGCTCCTTCCACACCTCGTGCAAGGAAAACTCAGAGCACTTTTCATCCTTAGAACTGACAATGCTAACTAAATGAGTGGTTTCACAAGAATTCTTCATCACCACTGTTTAAGTTGTTGCTAACAACAGGGGCACTGACAACGAATAACATGCAAACTAATAACTGTAACTGTGAGCAGACTAATAAAACAATCATTTCACATTTGACAAAGAGACAAGTGACAACCTTTTGCTCATCGGACTAAACCAAAATCTCCAAGAATGTGTGAAAAATTACACAGGAGAATGGAAGAATTGGAGGATTGAGGACTGTTGGAGTTACTGGGCTTTTCTTGATGCATCTTACGCAGTGCGATTTGGGGGGTCAAAACAATGGTTACCGGGTAGGTTACCTGTCTCAAGCTTTCTCTGTCATCCTCATTGGGCGAGGTTTTCAGAAGTAGCTGAAACAAAAGAACAAATGAACCAGACCTTGTCAAATACCGCTTGCCTAGCCAACTTACGTGCATCTTGCACCCATAAAGGTTAACGCAGGGGAACAGTGAGATGGAATATTGTGAATAGGGTTTACAACTCTTCCAGACTGTCATCATGAACTTCATGAAGTCAATTGTTTGGAAACTTCAAAAGAATAAAAGAGCCGTCCATTTAAGAGAGCAAAAGTGAGTCCGAGAATATCAAAGTGGTCATATAGGCCTACTTAATATTCACTGAATTGTCGGGGCACGTGTACAAACTTTGCTTCAGGTTTTATCTCTAATTTCTCAACTATTTTTGCAGCTTGAGGCAGGTGGCACATTGTTACCTTAAGGACATCAAAGTAGTGTATGCAGTGGTAGATGGGTTCTAGAAGGAGCTTGGGCAGGACATAGGCTACAGCGTCCTTGAAGTTATCCTGAAGCTTGAGAAAATTAGACAAAAAATGAAGTGAGAAAAATTCAAAAGAAGATCTCTAAATTTATTTTGATCTTATCATTCCTGCATGTGTACACTAGTTAGAGTTACACGCAAGGTAAATAACCGAAATTATCTTTTATACACAACAGGGATCAAAATTAATTTCAATCTCTTGGTGGGGGCCAGTGCAGGGCCAGTGGGGGAAGTACACCACACTGGCCCTGGTGAAAATTTGGTGGCCCTGGTTGAGTAACATGTAATGACATCGATCAGGCCCATCACACATGCCCATTTGTATCAGTCCAACTTTTGTACCAAAACAGCTAATTGGCAAGCCTGGCTGGACTTAAACACACTTTTTAAGACCAAAAAACTAGTTCTGCTTCTGGTTACGCAACCAATCCTAAATTTTTGGCATGACTGTAAAATTTATATTGGTAGGTTAGAAAAACACATTTAAAAAGAAAAAAAAAAAAAGAAAAAGAAAAAACAAATCCTGTCTTTCATGTCTTCACAAAACACCTTGCAACATTTCAACGTGATGAAAGTTTTGCAAATGTGGCAATAATCCTCAAATGACCAGTGTCCCACCAGGCGATCGTTTTGGGAGAATGCAGTGGCCCGATGAATTTTTTGGTGGCCCCGGGCCAGAGGACCTCGGTTAATTTCGACCCCTGCACAATACTCTTAGAGTCCAAGGAAGAGGGTGATTATCTGACAAGCTAGTGCCCACACTGACCGAAAGTACCCCTTGGCAAAGAAGAAAGAGAGGTTGGTGGGGGCATTCAGATAAAACGTGCTGCATAAATTGGAAAGGTTACTGACAGATGAATCCCCCTACACCCCACAGTATGCCTGCAAACTGCCACTCTCTCAGTAAAGGGACAAAAGAAACATGGCAGCTGTCACCAGCACCCCCAGCAAAACCAACCTGAAAGTAACGGGCCACTTCTGGCCTAGCCAGCAGCCTGTTGAGGGTGCCTCGGCTCTTGCTGCTCAGGATCTGGTTTGCGTAAGGGATGTACGGCTCAAACTCTTCACCCTGAAAGAAATCATCATACATATATAGGCATGTTCAAGCAAGGATCATGGTTAGCAACAGTTTGACTACCTCTGACCACACCCAAGTCAACTATTCGTGACCAGCCTACTGACATTGGTTGTGCCGTCGGTTGCCAGAGCCGTTTTTAATGGCACAGTGCCTTGAGGACCAGTTACAAGAAAAAATGTCAATAAAAAGGAAATGTACAGGTATGTCACTAGAAAAAAAAATCATCTTCAACTTTTATACAATTTTGCCCTTCCCAAGGCCACTTTTCTCCCCATCAGTCTAATTGTCAGACCTGACAACAGTCGACTGAAGTTGTTCACTCTTCAACTGAGAACAGATAGCCCACCAATGCCTTTTCAACTTCTGAAGTAAAAGTCACCTTGTTTAAACATCAACAAGAGGGTAAACAAATACTGCATTTCGCAGGTACAGGCACTCAAGAACTAAGCCCATCGGGCACTAAGAAGGCAGTGTTTACAAGATGCATGACGATCAGTACAATTTCAGACACTTCACAGAGTTCAAGGTCCTAACAATCATATGATATCAGGAAAGGTCGTCACGCCAACCTGACCACAACCTGCTAACCACGGTATATTCCATTACAAAAATGTGATCTTAGAGGGCTTTTGAAGTAACTTACCTCTGCTATTTCTTCAAAGCACTCCCCGATGGCAGGATAGGAGCTGTTGTCATCCATCATTTCCATGGCATCCTCCAGCTGACTCAGGAAGGAGACTGAAATGCTGTGGATGTCCAATAGGTTGCCAAAGATGTCTGCCACATCCTGGGAGTCCAGGAGGAAGACATCATTATGATCACAGCATCATAGTGAACAGCGTTCACTGCATCAAAGGCACGCACTCACTCAATGATTCTGTCCAGTGTTCAGTATAGCACTTTTAATTCTGACAGAGTTAACATTAATTGCCACGCGTGATTTTTCAAACTGCTCTCTAGCTGAGTCGGAACATCGAAACAATTTTTAGAAGGAGAAAAACCACAACAATTTAAGGGAAACACAGCAAATCTCAATCAAGGAATCTTCCAAGATAAATCCTTAAACTATCTCCTCCAGAGCTGACATGGACCCTACCACGTGATACACGGACATCGTTGGCCAGTTTGCCATTGTGATTACCTCACTAGCATTGTGTGAACTGCCCATGATTATTGCGAATTGTCTACTGTAGAAATGTTAACAAGGATTAAGACAGGTTTGTATCACTTTTCAAGACAATTTTTGAAGAACAGCACAGAAAAGTTGACCCCAAACATTTTTTAGCCTACTGACCCTATTTTTGAGAGGCATGTTATCGAAAGCAGAAATACTATTTTTGGCCTAATATGACTTTACCTAAAATACATGTAGCTAATGGGTTCAGTGAAACAGCTTCCAAAAAAAACCTGGCATTGGAAAGGCCAGGAGCTGTCAAGAAAGCTTAATGTCGGCCCCTGACCATACAAATGCCAAGTTAACTCTTGTTATCATTATGTGTTCTGCTCGTGAGCAGCACACTGCAAGAGACCTGCCAGATTGCCCCTCCCTCACCTGCTCACTGAAAAGGTTGGGTTCCCTGGTAAAGAGCCGCCGGAAGACCTTGATGATGAGGTTGAGGTCCCGGATGTACTGGGTCTCTTCCAGGATCATGTCCTTGACCACCTCATCATAGGTGAGAGTGCCTGTGCGGACGTCAACCTCCTGACTGTCCTCCAATGCCAGCGAGGACATGGAGACCTCTTCATCATCCTGGTGAAACATCTCCATCAGGACCTGCACAGACAGGAGGCATTACATGAATGATCATTTCCTGAATCAACACTGTGAACAACGTCTCTGAGTTAGTTTAAGCCAACACACATGTATAAAAGTATAAAAGAGTCATTTTTAAGTGAAAACAGGTACATACAAGTACATGTATGCACCATGTATACTTTATGCTCTGACATGCATTATAAAGTTCCTTTACAGTAACTGAACTGTCATTTATATTGGCAGTTGTAACTCTCCAACTTGTTCAAGAACTGAAGGACTGGTGGAATCTTCCCCCCCAAAAAAGTGACAATGACAATTTTTCACAGGCAATTTCATTCTTTCTTATGTGGCAATACTAATTATAGTTAAGTGACAGTGCTTGGAAGCTTACCTTGTCAGCACACATGGCCACTTTGATGTCCTGACAGCAAATCTCCATATGCCGTATGTTTTTCACATAGTTACCCGCCAACTGCAGCAACAAAAGAAAACAAACCAAAGTTTGGCACACAAAGCTGACATTGAATGAATTCTGCATCACAAAAGTGCATGGACTTTTCTCATTCCATTTTCAGTTATCTCACTGAAAATGACAGTTCCTATTGAAAAAGCATGGATTAAATGGAACACTAGAGGACCGTACATGTGCATGTTTCTGTACGTGAATGTTTGAAAAGAAAATTGGGATAGTACTTCATAATTCACAACACAAAACATTCACTTTAGCCAAACTACATACGGCACATGTGCCTAATGGCAACACTATTTGGCAAATGATAAGCTTGTGTTAAAAAACAAAGATTTCAAGGTACAGTAAGTCAACAATGACTAGGAAGAATGTCCCCCCCCCAAAAAAAAAGCTTCATGATCTGCCAAGCATGGGGTGCTTTTGAAATGTTTGAACCAAAAAAAATATAAAAATACTGAAAAATTACATTATCTCCAACAATGCAACCTATCAAAAACATTTAATGTACACATGTATGGGAAAAAATCTGGAGGCAATAATTTTGCTAGAGGTTCAGTTTACACCTCCATGGCCTTGAGACACTTCCAATTATTCAAAAAATTTTTGCATGCTTGGCTGTTTGAAGAAAGGAGAGAAACATCCCCTAGGCATTCTCAATTACTACATGCATCACCTCCAAATTCTCTAGTAATGAAAGAATTTTGATCACCATTTTACCATCTCAATGAAGACCAAGGGAGAGAGTACAAAAAATTTTTGCACTGTTACAACAAAGGCCTTGGAACTCAAACCTGATTAGCACAGTTAGTGATTTTCAAAGAAAATTTCATGGATTTACAGGCTACAGCATATGGCTGTTATCAATGGGACAGGGTGGGCCTATTGCCTTTGTGTGATTTCAAAGTCCCTGTAAATGTCAGCTAATAGGTATACATGTACATGTAGCAACTGTAAAAAAAAATTAAGTGGGTCCTTATCCATAAATGCAGCATGGGTGACTAAAGTATGTAGGTACTGGTACATTGCTATTGTGGAAGCTTTTTTGCTACCAAAGCACACAATATGAAAGCTGACTCAGTTCAAAATCTCACAAAAGAGACAGCCTCAAAGATTTTACCCTATTTCAACAGCTGTTTGTTAACCTGTGATTCTGTGAATTCTCTGAAAACCTTGTGCTGGCAAGAATTGGAATTTGGTGGCAATGAACTTTGACCTTGATGTAATGTACATGTGTGCTATGCAGTGTACATGTACGTGCATGTAAGAACAGTATCATGCCATTACAGTATGTGCAATGTACATGTACACGTAGGCTTGTCACAATTTTTTTAAATCTACATTACTATGACATCGTACATGTACATACCCAAACTTCAACCACTTCAGACAATTGTTCACATCAACACTACAATGTGGACAACCTCGTTTTTACAACGCTCACTGAATTTCACTATATACATGTAGCATCCCTCCATTCAAAACTCTGATCATTACTACATTATACATGTAGTATTCAGGGTCCAATTATGCACATGTACCGGTACACATGTACTGGTTTGGTAGATTGATGATCCTGAGCATATGTACATGTACATGTACCTGTATGATTGGACTTGACTTGCACATACATTTACAATGTACATACAGTACGTGAGTACATTGGTTAACTAACGGGATCAAACAACTGGACTATTTTACAATCCGAACATTTTCCTCATTCCACTTTTTTTCCCCACTACAGTCTGTCCAAAGGGATATTCCCAATATTTCCCTATCCACGTAAGGTAACGGCAGCAAATGAACTTGTTCCAATGAAAGGATACACGATAAAAAGGACATAAAAATGAAAGTTTTTCCTGTGTTTCTGAAACCAAACAGCGCATCATGAATGAACGGAAAGTGATTCCTACACCAAGAATAATGGACAGGGTATAAAATTAACCACACCTCATTTTTAGGTTCAATTTCAGGAAATCCACACCTAGGTCCCCAGTGGAAATTCATGAGGCTGTCCTGGATTTTCTTGAATCTCCAAGAGGAAACATTGAGCATTTCTTCACAGAGTCATTCTCATCTTGCTACCAGAACGTGTGAAATACCAGTAAATTACATGTCCTGATTCTGAATGAAACTTTAAAACAGACAAAATAAGCAAAATAAATCTCTTCACTTAGAAAACATCATCAAAAGGGCATGAGGGAATCTTGTGACACCGTACCCTACATGTAGAGTACCAAATGGACACTGTATTATGATGGCATGCACACTTGCACATAGTATACTTTTACCTACTGTCTACACATGTACCTGTGTAGGTAACCGTACTACATGTACATGTACAAGATTTACTTCCAACATTACTGTTTTCATCCATGCATATGTACGTCACTTTGAAACTTGATTTCAAAACTTAACGCAACACAAGCTCTAATAAAGAGGCTTGTTCCTGTTTCTTGAGTAAAAATACACATGTATGTGCAAAATTTACGAAACCCTGATGCTCATCATGCCTCAGAGGCAGCTTTCATTAGCTTTGCATGGAGAAGTAGGAAGTACTGTTTATGTAACTCAGCTGGGCTACATGCAGGAGCCAAATTTACAACCACAGCCCTAGTCTGCAAAATGAATAAGGTACACATGTACTGTGCATTATACAAAAACATGTGACAAGTGAACAGCAGGTAGATGTATCATGTTGATGAATCAGTACTGATTTAATGCAAGGTGTCTGCAAGAATATGCACACAGTACCATGACTCAACCGCACTCGACCCACTTCCTAGCCTCTTCCCCCCAAAAGGGTGAATTTTCAGCCAAAGACGCTGCAGAAGATGAACCAAACAGCAATGGAGAATAAGTGTACATGTAGATGCACAAGCCTTTGATCTTCATTTCCTGACGGTACCATTTTATACATGCATGGAGTGTACATGTACCACATGGAGTGAGTTTTTCTTAACTCAAGTCAAGGGTAACTGGTACCGGTACATCCTTTGGGTACAGATATACTTTTATGTATTCACATAAATGTACATTCCACACACGGACGGGGTTCATAGCAACACGTACATGTGCATTGGTACACATTCCGCAAGAGGGAATTTCGTTCAAAGGATTTCTAACATGAGGCACATGGTACATGTACATGCTATAGGTTGTGAAAGCTTTGACACTGAACATGAATTGTACATGTACATCGTACCGATATCTTAATGTAGATTTGGCCAGCCTAAAGACACAAACGCCTGATTTATATACTTCATACCAATATCAATATTCAAGAGGATGACAAATTTTGGCCTCAGGAGTGTGTGTCCCTCATCATATTCTGGGCCTAAACAGGCAGGAAGTTAGTGGGTGTACCATGTGCTGGGAGCAAGAGCAGGTACAGTACATGTATGCACACAGCTACCATACTTTGTGTGAATGTCGTTACCAAGCCATTTTTCCATAAGTCATAAGCAAATACATGTACCGGTAGGTCAGCAGTCATTTTTCTACCCGCACCTAGCATCATAATTGACACAGCACCTGTACAGAATTTCTTACACAGGGGTTTAGATAATTTTCTTCAAGCCATGATTACAATATCCACTTCCTTGCTTAGAGTTCCGTACTCTTTGCCTCAGTATTGTTTCGTATTGTACTCTTCTTCACGAGAGGGCGAGTACTGTACTCCCTATGAGGTGGAGGAATCGAGTACCCGTATTATGCGAGTTAGTCCTTTTGCCTTGGTAAATACAATAATACTTATTTTTCTTAACAAACACAGTAAAAAGCAGCACTTAGTGATAACCATGGACTCATGACACTATAGACAAAATCACATTTAAGTCAGTATCTGCCCAGCTGACTTTTGATGAACCATATACAAAATCAGTTACAATAATGCACACAACTGTACATTATAAATACTGTAATAGCTTCTCACGTCTACGAGTACCTCCACTCACAATTTAGCAAGATTTTAGAGATGAACAATACTTTTTGCCCTGATAAAAATTTCTATTACCTTTAAATTTTTTAATGAATAATTTACTTTTTGAATCGTTGTAAGAAATATTATTCTGTTGCTTTTCATTTGAAAGTGCTTTAAACAAACCTCCACAGTGCAATTTTTCTCATTCAAAACAAAACAAAATTCTCCCTTTTAATGGATTTTGCATTCAAACATTTAAATTCGGAAAATACCATTCAAATATGTGATAATCGATCGAATATTCAGATATTCGCCACAGCCCTAACTTCTAGCATGCTCCTCAGTGCACTCGAAGTAAATTACCGCACAAGGCAAGTCTCTTCAGGTGTGCACTCTGGACACCCTGTAAGTCATGTGGACTGTGAATGGACCTTACACTTACCCGGTATGCAATGTACCGGTAAGAGGCATGGACTTCAGAAATGTGAATACCCAGTTTTTAGATCAAGACTAACACACAGTTCCCCCTAAATTTTAGTTCCAACCATAAACATTGCGTGTACATGTACTTCACTTTGTTGATTGTTGTTGTTGCCAACGCTCGAGTTTAAGTGGACATTTTCTGCTTCAAGCTCCCGGATCCATCGCTTACAATGAGTAACCACAAATATGACCCTGTCCTGACAGCAAGGGGCACATCTTGTTAGCTCAGTGCCATTAAGCTGATACTGCCGCACAATGTTCCTGTTTTTATGGTGACATTTGTTGTGTGTTAGGGGATCCATTTCATGCAGAGCGTGTCAAACAGTAAATACACGCCAACAAGATCCTTCATACTGAGAAATCTATTCAATACTGAGAAATTTATAATACATGTAGGGTAGAAAGACTAATTCCAGAAACCTACTGTACCAGTGCATGTATGTTAGGTGATTTTTCCTTGTTGGGAGGAGAGCAGATTTCAGTAATATTCCCAAAGACACTAAACAATTTTTTTCTGCAAAGCAAAGCTCACGTTTGTCCAAGAGTAAAATGACATCCAGGCTTGCACATGTTGGCACCAAGCCAAGCCTGCATCTAGGGC